ACTCGTCCACGTCTTTAAGACAGAGGGGGACGGGGGTGGGGGGTCTCGCCCAGCGCCTCTCAGGACCACCTCCCCAGCCTGGACTCCACCCGAAGCCCAGCTCTACCTTCGCAGCCGCGGCCTGAGCTGTCCAGGGTGAACCCTTGAAAGCAGTCACAGCTGAAGCTGCCGGGGGTGTTGTGGCAGCGTCCCCGGGTGCCACAAAGGCCAGGCTGGGCCAAGCACTCGTCATTATCTGCAGAGGACAGAGAAGTGGCAGGGCCGCCTGGTCATTAGGGGAAACACGTCAGGCACCATGACACTGGGCTTTCCACCTCGGCAACTGTGTGGTTTTGGGCCCGTCACTTATCCGCTCTGTGCCTCAGTTTCCCCCTCTGTGAAATGAAATGAGATCTGTAACAGTTCCCACCTCACAGAATTGCCATGAACATTCGAGAGCATACACATGCAGGACTTTGTATGAACCTCACCTGTACCACCTCAAAGCTGGGTGGGCGGGGGCAGCTGACCTTCCGCTGTAGCATGCCAGGAGTAATACCTGTCTCAAGGTGGCGGTATCCACAGACACAGCTCGTCTCCTCGCACAACCAAAAAAATTACAACTAAAATGTAGTTGTAGTGACTCAGAAGCCACAGAAATCTAACTGAAGTTTGACAACTACAGAAGTAAAGAAACCACACCCATCCAGACCAGTAGGAGGGGTGCAGACATGGACTCGGCTGGTCCCTCACCCATCTGTGGTGGATAAAAGTTGGGGAGCGGTATCTCGGGAGCGAGCAGGCCCAGCCTACATCAGGCCCCCAGCCCAGGCTTCCAGTGCCGGGAAGACAAATCCCCACAACTTCTGGCTGCAAACGCCAGCAAGGATTGAGTCAGTGAAGAAAATGGTGGAACCCCAAGCAGTTCCTAGTTCCTCTTGAAGAGCCCACACATGGACTCACCTACTCAGACTCACTCCCTCCGCGCTCCGGCCCCAGGGGAGCAGCTTGAAAGGCACCAGCGGTGTTCAGGGAGGAACTGAACTGTCTGGCATTGGGGAGAACAAAGGCCACTGTCCCTTTTCTGAGCCCCGCACTCCACAGAGCCATGGAGCCGGCAGGCTGGTGCCATATTTGTGACTCCGTCAACCCGGCTAACACTGTTTCACCTGCCTGGGAGATTGCCAGAGGCTCTGACCCACCCAACTTACAGGACCACCCAAGTTGCTTTTCTATATGAATGAATGGCAGGTCTTGGTTCATGTTTCACAACTTTCTAAATCCTATCAAACGAGCAGCAGCCGGCCTCAGTGAACCTCAGGCCCAGCAAAAGGAGCAGCCAGCCTAGATTCACAGCTTGGCTTTACCCGGGAATCTCCCAGCCTAGGACAAGTAGCAGGCATCTCAGATTGCTTTACAGCTCAGGCAGGGCACCCCAGGGCAAAACACAGGCGGAGGCTGACCTTGGCCTGCACCACCCAGCAAACCCCAGGGCCAGTGCACCCAGGGGACAGCTACAGACCACGTCAGAGCACCACCACCCTGCCCCTGCACAGCTGATCCTCCATGGAGGGCAGCGAGTGGTCACAGCCAACCTTGAAGCTGACTGGCCTGGGTAAATCCCTCCCATTGTTCTGCCAACAGCAACCAAAGCTCAACCACAAGAGGAGGGCGTACTCAGCCCACATGAAGGGCGCACCTCGGGTACCCAGCTTGCGTGATTGGGAGGCTGTGTCACTGGACCCTACAGGACACCTACTGCATTAGGCCACACCACCAACACACAGAGTCAAAGCAGCTCTACCTAATACATAGAAACAAACACAGGGAGGCTGCCAAAACGAGGAGACAAAGAAACATGGCCCAAATAAAAGAATAGGTTAAAACTCCAGAAAGAGAGCTAAATGAAATGGAGATAAGCAATCTATCAGATGCAGAGTTCAAAACACTGGTTATAAGGATGCTCAAGGAATTAAGTGAGGACCTCAGTAGCATCAAAAGATCTAATCAGAAACAAAGGAGTCACTAACTGAAAAAAGAAACAAGAAAACAATGTACAGGGTAACAAGAGTAGAGTGGATGAAGCTGAGAATCAAATCAACGATTTGGAACATAAAGAAGCAAAAGCAACCAATCAGAACAACAAGAAGGAAAAAGAATGCAAAAAAAATGAGGGTAGTATAAGCAGCCTCTGGGACAACTTCAGAAGGTCCAACATTCACATCACAGGGTGCTGGAAGGAGAAGAGAAGAAGCAAGAATTTGGAAATCTATGAGAAAATAATGAAAGAAAACCTCCCTAATTTGATGAAGGAAATAGACATGCCAATCCAGGAAGCACAGCGTGTCCTAATCAAGTTGGACCCAAAGAGGATCACACCAAGGCCTATCAGAAGTAACATGCCAAAGGTTAAAGATAAAAACAGAATGTGACAAGCGGCAAGAGAAAAGCAGAGAGTTACCTACAAAGGACCTCCCATAAGACTGTCAGCTGATTTCTCAAAAGAAACTGCAGGCACGGAGGGGCTGGCAACAAGTATTCAAAGTCATGAAAAGCAAGGACCTACAACCTAGATTACTCTCTCCGACAAAGCTATTATTTAAGAATGGAAGGGCAGATAAAGTGCTTCCCAGACAAGGTACATTTAAAGGAGTTCATCAGCACCAAGCCATTATTACAAGGAATGTCAAAGGGACTTACTTAAGAAAAAGAAGATCAAAACTATGAACATTAAAATGGCAACAAATTCACAACTGTCAACAAAGGAATCTAAAAAACAAACTAAGCCAAAAACAGAACAGGAACAGAAGCACAGATACAGAGATCACGTGGGGGGGTGTTTATCAGCTGGGAGGGGGGAAGGGTGAGGTTTGGGGGAAAAGGTGCAGGGATCAAGAAGCATAATTGGTAGGAACAAAGTAGACAGGGGGACGTTAAGGATAGTATAGGAAATGGAGAAGCCAAAGAACTTACACACACAACCCATGGACATGAACTAAGTGTGTGTGTGTGGGGGGGAGTGTTGCTGGAGGGAACGGGCATACTGGGTGGAGTGGGGCAAAGGGAAAAAAATTGGGACAACTGTAACACCGTAATCAGTAAAATATACTTAAAAAATAATACCCATCTCACTGAGCTTTTGTGAGAATTAATCTAATCATGTAAAGGGCTTAGGACAGTGCTTGGCATGGGAGTGAGAGAGGAATAAAACCCTCCCCCCCGCCCCCCGCCCCCCGCGAGAGTGCCCCAGGGCAACTTTGGTGCTCTGTCCTCAGGGAAGCGCAGCCACAGTGGGATGTCAGTCAGTGTTACAGACTGGGGCCCCGCCTCCAATCACTGTATGTTACCTCAGGTCCTAACGCGTGGTATTTGGAGATGGGGCCTCTGGGAGGTGCTTAGGGCTAGATGAGGTCGTGAGGGTGGGGCCCCCATGCAGAGGTGAGGGCCTCTGCCACCCCAGGGGACTCGTGCTCTCCCTGCCTCTGAGCACACATGAGAAGACAGTTGTATACAGTCCAGAAAAAGAGTCTTCAGAAGCTGACCCTGCCGATGCCGTGATCCCAGACTTCCAGCCTCCAGAGCTATGAACAATACATGCCTGTTCTTTAAGTCACTCTGGTTATGGTACTAAGCAGCCTGAGTTACCGGGCAATGTTGCGATGGTGGCAATGTGCGTGGCTGGTACGCTGCACTTGGACTGGGGCTACAGGGAATGGGCAACACATTTCAGGGTGGGAAATGCCAGTTTTGGCTTCTGTGAGGACAGAGATTATTGACACCAGGTACCTCCCTTTGGGGACCTGGAATCTTTCATGGGTGCAAGAGGCAGTGGGGACATGGAGCTTCTAAGCCACAGTGGCTCCTGAAGCTACATGTGGTCTCATCCCTCACGTCTGAGCTGTCATTTGAGGGGCCACAGACACTACTAGCCCTGGGTTCCTGCCAGGATCCTGCCGGAGAGATGCACCCGGTGCTGCCTGCAGTTTCCCCCTTGCATTCAGCCAAGTGAACCCAGGGTCAGGGTGGCCTACCGTGGTCATGTGAGCGTGATCTTCTAGTTCAGTCGTCAGTAAACGGGGGCCCCACAGGACACATCTGGCCCACCACCTCTTTGTGTAAATGAAGTCTCACTGGCACACAGCCATGCCCACTCATTTACAACATCATCTACGGCTGCTTTTGAGCTACAATGGCCGAGCTGAGTAATTGCACCAGACTGTATAGACCGCAGAGTTAACAATATCCACTAACAGGCCCTTTATTGAAAATGTCTGCCAAGCCTTGACCTAGTTAGTCTAAGACCACCCACCAAGAGTATGGGCTATGCCGGTGTTTGTCATGAATGATCTGGAGCCTTCGGTCGGTGGGGACTATGCAGTGGAGAGCCTGGCTGAGGGAGGGACGTCCTGTGTGAGCTCCAGGTACACGTGGGGCGTGTGCACGTGGGTACACGGGCTTGTGTGTGTACATACATACAAATGCCACGTTAAGGGTGCTGCTCTCAGGAGGCAGGGAATATAACTTGACTGCGCAGCAAAAGAGAAACGCATGTCGTCTCAAGGCCTGGAACACTGTCCCGCAATGAGCGCACGGCCCACTCCTTTGCCTCCTTCAAATCGTTGCTTAAATGTCCCCTTCTGAGGATGCTTCTCCTGATCCTTCTTTGAAAAACTGCAGCCTCACACATGCTCTAGTGTTAAGTTACTGTTCTGTTCCTCTCCAGCCCAACTCCCCGCCAGCTGGGGCACCTACGACGGCAGCCCGCTTGAGCCAATGCCCGTTTCTGTGCCCTCGGGGTCTAGAGCAGGGCTAGGTGCCGCATCGGCCAGGGGGCCGGGCAGGAACCGTGTTTTCAGCTCTGCCATTGTCGCACAGAGAGAGCCACAGACACACGCTATGTAGCAAACGGGCATGTGTGCTGACAGAGCTCTATTAACAGAAGCAGGCAGAGGCCAGGCTCGACCGAGGGGCCGGAGCCTGCTACCTCTGGCCTTGAGCACTTCCTGGTGCAGCGTAGGTGCTCAGCGGGTGCTGGCTGAGTGGGTCAGCAGGAGCCGGAACAGGGCCGCCCTTGGCTGGGCGCGGCCCTCCGGCACCGCCTGCCTCTCCGGGGCCACAGGCGCTGAGAAGCGATGGGAGTGACAGATGCCCTTGTGGCATCGGGTTCTGAGCCGACTTGCCCTTTGGACCCTGGGCGCCCCTGGGCTTTCAGAGCACCCTGGGGAGGGCCTAGGAGAGACATCTGACAGGGGCCACGGTCAGAGGGACTCCTCAGGGTGGACCTCCCCAGGGTGAGCACTGACTAAGCCGCCCGGGTGTGAGCACTGACAGAGCAAGGACTTTATCCCAAGGACTTCTGTGTCCCTGATGCCCAGCACACACTGGGCGCTCATTCCTTATTCGGTGAACAAGCAAGTGAAGGCCAGAGCCACGTGCCAGCTGCTGCATGGGGGGTGAAGGGACTCACCGAAGCAGGCCTGATGGTGCTGGGTGAAGCCTGGGGGACAGCGGCAGACGAAGGCGCCGACGGTGTTGACGCAGAAGAACTGGCAGTTGTGCTGCCGAGAGGCGCACTCGTCCAGGTCTGCGGCACAGAGGCCCCAGCAGGCTCAGCGCAGGGCTCGGTGCGCCTGGGCTTCCCAGGGGAAAGGCCCTAGAGACGGTGCCCAGTGCCATGCAGCGGGGAGGGTGACGTGGCAGAGGACGTGCCTGGGGGGCCCTGAGGGGTGGGGGCGGAGACCCACAGGGCACGCGGTCACCTCTGCAGGTCCTGCCGTCCTCCTCCAGCAGGTACCCGCGGGGGCAGGCACACAGGAAGCTGCCCTCCATGTTTCTGCAGAGGAAGGCGCACGGTGCGGGGGCCTGGCTGCACTCATCCACATCTAGAGGGACAGCAGCGTGCAAGGGTCACACAGTATTCCAGGCGGCTGGAGGGCTGGGGCCTCCTTCCCAGACCCGAGCCACCCGGATCTTGTGTGCGTGGCCTGGTGGGCCACGCAGCCTCCCTCTGTCCCAGCTGCTCACAGCTGCCTCTGTAGCAGGAAAGCAGCCGCGGAGGGGAAGGAAACAAATAGGTTCGGCCGTGTGCGGATCAAACTGTATCAACAGAAACGTGCGGCAGGCCGAGTCACTCTTGGGCTGGCGTTGGCGGGCCCCTGACTTCGATGGATACCTGCTCTGCAAGGTAACTGAAAATCTGCGGATGCACCAAGTGACAGGAGGAAAGTGGCCCAAACGAGGCCAGGATAAAGGGCAGGATTTGCGGATATTTTCGACTTTGTGGTCCATGTGGTCTCTGCCGCTTCTGGCCTTGGTTTTCCCACAGAGGCGCGGGCTGGGTGCTGTGTGCAGGGCGCGGGGGCGGGGGCTCACCCAGGCAGGCTGTGGCAGCAGCGTCCGGCGCGTACCCGGACTGGCAGTGGCAGTGGAAGGAGCCCAGGCTGTTGATGCACTCGCCGTGGAGACACAGGTGAGAGAGCACGCGGCACTCGTCCACATCTGGGGATGAGTGGGCTTGGTTGCGGTCGCCGCGGCGGCCCCAGGGCACGCCTCCTCCCTCTGCCCACCAGCCCTGTCTCTGGAGGCCCCGCCAGCCTCCACTTCCCCTCCCTGCACCTATGCGCCGCAACTCAGGCCACGGGCCACACCTCCATCAGCACTGGACACTGAGAACACCCCGGGGGGGACACCCACCCACACCTGCGGAAGCACAGACATGACACATGGCCACTGCACACCAATCCCCCACACAGGCGCTTGTGCAGTCATGAGTATACACACAAGGGGCTGCTCTGCTTCCCAGACACACCCTTCCAAAGCCGCTTCCTTCTCAGTCCCCGACATCCCTGCTGCTCCCCTGATGCCCTCACTGATGCTCGATGAGGCACACGCATGCAGAGACCCTCACGCACACGCCTGCCCTCACAGACACTCACCAGGACCTCAGTCACACGCCTGGCTCACTGCTTCTCCGTCGCTTCCTGGTGTGTGCTCCTCACCCGGCTCACGCACACAGAACACAGCGGCTCCTGCCTTCACCAGCGCGCACACATGCTCACAAACCACCTTACGCGCAACTCGCACTTTCACACGCTCGGTAGCACACGACACACACTGGTTATCCAGCTTGCACACAGGGAACACACCCCAGCTCACACACTCCCTAGCGCAGACAAGTGCCCACCGAAACACCTGCACACACTGGGACACGCACCAGCCTGTATGCTTTCACATGCTCATTCACAAACCCGCACACATTGCCTCATGCACTAGCCCGGCCATCACCCAGGTTCACGCGCACACACAGAGCCACGAATGGGTTCTGGTTCACACACACCCGCTAGGACAGGCGCACACACAGGCTCACTCACTGCCGCACCCACTGGAGCGTGGATACACAACCGTGGACGAACTCACACCCACCTTGACCCTCGGTGGTGTAGCCTGAACCATGAGGGCACAGCTGCCTGTGGGTGGAGGTGCCGGGCAGGGGGCAGAGCTCACAGCGGGGCCCCCAGGCGCGGCCGCCCCCGCAGCAGCACTCGACCCTGGTGACCACCTCGCCACCACCCGACAGGGCCTGGCACGTGACTTGCAGCACCTCGGAAAAGCAGGGCCCCCGCCGGATGTCTGCAGGGAATGAGTGGGGACGGTGGGTGGGAGAAACATGCCGTCAGGGCCCACTTCCCTGTGGCACCCAGGGGCACCGAGCGGCTACACGCGGCGCCGCAGACGCCTCCGACGCGGCCGTGCGTGTGCCGGGGTGCAACCTTCCAAGCTGTCGTCCCCAATGCGGCTAACACCCTCTCCAGGCGGGCGCTGGGGCTGGAGCTGAGGCGGAAGCTACAGGTCCGAAGATAAGACAACTACCCCTGGCCTGCAGACACCAGGCCGCTCTTGGAGGATCAAGGGCAGCATCACTCCAGCCGGGGGAGGTCTGAGTCAAGGGGCAGCGGAGAGGCCGGGGAACAAGGAGGAGGCGGCAAGAGGTGGCTGGACAGACGGGGAGACGCAGCAGAAGGGTGGTATCAGAGACGTGGGAAGGGCAGAGGACAGGCTGGAGACTGGGTGTCGAGGGAGAGGAGGCCACGGATCGCTCCAGGGGGCCGGCCTGGGTCTGGGTGGGTGCTGGGGCATCGCCAAGGTGGGCCCGGGGGCAGAGGCGGGCCCGTTTTGGGGTGAGTGCCTCGGGAGGAGTACTGGAGATGGGGTTTCTGAAGACAGCTGCACACGCACGTCTGGTCTGAGCTCTGGGGTGGAGACTGTGCTGGGAGGGGTGAAGGGGGAGTAGAGGACCAGGATTGTGTGGGCACAGAGATGGACGAGCTGCCGGGACAGGCGGCACAGTGGGCTGTCCGCTAGGGTGGCCCCCAGGAAGTGGAGAACCTGGCGGGGCGGTTCCCGGCCGTAACAGGTGGGGTGCGGGGAGAGGATCGATCTGCTGTTCCGCACAGAGGGAACACGTGTGGACACGTGTGTTCAGATAAACTCAGCAAGCCCCTGCGTGTCCCTTGGTGCCCAGGACCCTGGCCCCACCTTGGGCGCTTCCAGGCCTGTGCCTGGCCATGCTCACCGTGGCACTGGGTGAGGGCGGGGCTGGGCTGGAAGCCCTCGTCACAGTCGCACCGGAAGCCGCCGGCAGTGTTGACGCAGAGGCCGTGGGCGCAGAGGCCGGGCCGGGCCTGGCACTCGTCCTCATCTGAAGCGGGAGGGGTGAGGAAGGCGGCAGGGCGCCCCAAGCCAGCCTCCCCCGCTGCCGTGTCTGCCCGCCCGCCCTCCTCCTCTTGCTCCGCCTCCTCCCCTCCACGGTGCTCCCCACACCCCCAGGCACCCCGTACCCACACAGGCGTCCCCAGAGCCGGGCTGGGGCCGCGTGCCTGGGGGGCAGACGCAGGCGAAGGTGCCGATGAGGTTCTTGCACAGCATGCCCCGGGCGTGGCAGTCCTGCCGGCCGTCTGCACACTCATCCTCATCTGCGGGTGACCAGGCGTGAGTGGTGACCAAGGTCAGGTGCCCGCGGCCTGGGCCCGGCTGTCGGGCCTGGATCCCAGCTCCCAGGTGGCCGTGGGGGGCCAGAGCGAGGACCCCGCGGCACTGCCCGGCTGCCGTCCCTCTCTGCCTGGCCTAGGCTTTCAGGGGAGCGGAGGGGCCAGCCTGCCCCGAACAGCCACGCGCCTGCCCACATCAGGGTCTGTGGGTCAGTCTGGTCCCTGGGGCCCTGACCCTGAAGTCGCCCTGGAGGGGCCACGGCGCAACCCAGAGTTTCTCACCCTTGAAACCATGGACCTTCGGGACCAGAAAACTCTTTGGGGTGGGAGGCCATTCTGTGCACTGTAGGAGATACAGCAGCATCCCAGGCCACTCGAGGCCAGTGACACCCCCCCCCGCCGCCACATACGCACGGGAGACGATGTTGCCAGACATCACCACACGCCACCAGACCCACGGCCCTCCCCATCCCACTCAGGGCATGTCCGACTGCCACTGCAGAGGCCTCCAGAGCCGGACTCGCCATCCCCTCAGGCGTGGGGCCCGAGACGCTAGCCCCGTGTTTTCATACAACAGAAGCGGGGACACCACTCACGAGGGAGCCCACTGCGCGCCCGCCTGCCTCGCTCTCCACTCACTTTACCACCTTTTGTTCATTCCCGCCCTCGGAGGCACATGCTGTTATTCCTCCCTCTTCTCTCAAGATCAAGGCTTGTTGGCCCCTGGGGACCCGGCCCGTGGCCCACCAGCCTGTGCAGGTCCTACCTTGGCACATGGTCCCGTCCTGTCGCAAGGCGTAGCCGGCTGGGCAGGCGCACACATAGGAGCCTTCAGTGTTGTGGCAGCGGAAGGCACAGAGCAGGGGGTTCAAGGCGCACTCGTCGATGTCTGGGGAGGCCAGTGGAGGTTCCGGCTGGGTGGGGCCTTCCTGTGGGACCCCGATCCCTCCCCTAGGCCAGCCCCCGCACTCCCGTCACACCACAGCCCAGGGCGTGGGCAGGTGGGGTCGTACCTTCGCAGGTCATCATGGGGCCCGGCTCAAAGCCGTCAGCACAGGCACATTCAAAGCCTCCAACGATGTTGGTGCAGGTGCCTTCCCCACATGGGTGCGCGGTGGAGCACTCGTCTGTGTCTGGGAGGGGGAAAGGGTGGTCAGCGCACACAGAGGGCCCCCGTCCTCGGTATTATCCTGTCTCCTCATTGACTGCCACAGACTGGACAGAGCCAGATCTGGTGTGGCGCTAGGCTGGACACAGGGCAGCATGCGGTACGTGTTCAATAAATGAAAGGATGAGGAACTGAGTGAACGAGTGAATGAGCAAGCAAGTGCTCGGGTGAATGAATAGATAAGGGAATGAGTAATGAGAAAATAAATGAATGGCTGAGGATGTGACTAAGTAAGCAAAAGAGTGAAGGAGAAAGTAAAAAGTAAATAATGGAGAGAAGGAAGTGTGGGTGGGGAGAGGGACAGCGGCTGGGGGACAGGATCCTACCGTGGCGGGTGTCTGCCCAGCCCCACTCTGCTCTTTTCTCTCCCGGGACGCGGGCCGGTCGCTCACCCACACAGCTGATGCCCGTGGAGTCCAGGCTATAGCCGAAGGGACACTCGCAGCGGAAGGAGCCATCGGTGTTGACACAAAGGCCATTGGCACAGATGCCGGGGTTCTCTGCACACTCGTTCACGTCTGCAGGCGGCAGGGGTTGCAGGCACGGTGTCTGTCACACCCCATCTACACTCAGTATCTTTCTCCCCCTCCAGGCCAGTGGGATCCAGAGCCACCCATGGGTCGAAGAGAGAGCCTGAGGCTTGGGAACCCGGGCAGAGCCCAGACGGGGCTGGGCGGCAGAGGAGGAGGCCGAGGCAGCCAGAGGGGCTCTTAGCCTGTGCGTGGGAGGCTCACCTTCCCGCATCTCATCCGGGCCTGGGACTGCTCCGTGGCCAAAGGGACAGAGCTCCCGGAAGGCAGCTGGACAGCAAGAGGGGAGGGGGAGGTCAGGGCCAGGTGCAACCCCCAAGACCCCCAGGGGTGAGAGAAGGCTGAAGGAAGAGCGGAGGGGAAGGAGAGCAGAGGGGCCGGCAAGCCGAGTCAGGAGGGAGGCTGACAGAGCGGGCACTCACCACTGCCCTCCTGAGGACACAGCTCGCAGGGGTCGCTCCAGCCCTCACCAGGCCTCTGGCTGCAGCAGCACTGGGTCTTGGTGGTGTTGAAAGCTTTAGGCACCGAGCACCTTCCAGCCTCGAAACGGGTGAAGCAGAAACTCTGCCGTGTATCTGTGGGGTGTTCCCCAGAGAAATGCTGGAAGGGCCATCAGCAGTGCCCACCTGCCTTGCATGACTCTCCCACTCCAGTTCCTGCAAATGGGGGCCCCGCCTCTACTAGCAGCCAATCAGAACACTGTAGGTCCCTAAGCATGATGACTGATTTGAGAATGAACATGTGACCCACACTGGGCCAATGTCGGTCAGCCCCTGAACTTTTGCTGGACTCCCGGGAACTCCTTCCAGCCACTCCACTTTCACGGCTGTGGGGTGCCCCCGGGACAGAGAGAACTGTCAGGCCCAGCCACGTTCTCCTTGGAGAAGCAAAGTGACTGACTGCAGGGAACAAAGGACCTCAGACTTCAGACCCCAAATCCCCAGCGCCAGACTCCCACCAGGCAGTTTGGGGTTTGAGCAAACCTGGCCCCAGGAAAACAAATATTAATTGACTTGTCCTGCTGTCCCCCTCGTTGCCCCGGGCAGGGGAGAGGCTGGCTCATGTTGAGTGAGGCCAGCTCACCCTGGACAAGCCTAGCCAGGCTGAGATGCAGCCAGCCCGGGTGGGGTAACTGCAGCCCATACAGGACAGCCAGAGCCCAAGGGACCAGGCTGGCCAGGTTAACACTGCCCTGTCTGGCCAAGAGCTTGGATGGACCAGGACAACCCACCGAGGCAGAGAAGCCCCTCAGTGGGGCGGAGCCCAGGAGATCCGTACAAGAAACTCAGCCTCCCATTCTGGCTGATCTGACTCTTCCCCGCCTGACCTCCCACCTCTCACCGAAGGCCTGTGTGCTCCCTGGCCCCAGACTCACCAAAGCAACGGTGCCCATTGTCAGAGAGGGCAAAGCCAGGCGGGCACAGGCACTGGAAACTCCCGGGGCTATTGGTACAAGTGCCAGGGAGGCAGAGGGTGGGCTCCGTCAAGCACTCGTCAACGTCTGGAGGAGCAAGGACACAAGCTGGGTGGGGCGCCAGCAGGACTTCCGACAGGGTGGGGCAGGCTCAGCTGTCAAGAGGCGCAGGTGGAGTGGGGGCCCAGGGGCTGAGGTGGGGCAGGGGCCCCCAGGGCTCAGTGTGAGCTGCAGCACCAGGTAGGCAGTGTGGGGGGTCCTTCCTGGAAAGTGTCTTCAGGGTAGGGGTCATGGTCAGGAAAGTTTGTCTTTAGAGACTAAATTTGTGTAAAGCTAACCAAGACTAGATAAATTGGACCTACACTGGATAGAATTAGTTCCTATTGCATTAGGCTAGCCTAGGCAGAAGAGGCCAGAGGTGGTCAGGCCAGACCAGCCCGGGTCCGCCCGCACTGGACAAGGCTAACCCGCCTGCTCAGGCCAGACGGCCCGGGTCGGCCCGCACTGTTCAGTCACCTGCATGGACAATTACACCAGCGGCACTCAGGCCAGACTAGACCTTGCCCACCACTCATCCAGGGAGTTCTGAATTCAGATAATCCGGGGGGCGGTGAGACCCCACACCCATGCCCATTTTATAGAATTCACAAGGAAGCCTGCGGGCCCAGAGAGAGACCCCTGAGCCCTGAGTCTAAAAAGAATCCAGGTAATTCAGAGTTTATGAAACCCTCATAATAGTGTATGGCGCTGGACGGGGTGCTGTGCTGAGTGATCTGTCTCCACTATCACCATGACCCCAGTTGCTGTTGGGAGACAGAAGCCCGGAGACGCCTCCCTGGCCCCAGAGCTGGAAGGCGGGGCCAAGCACTCACCGACACAGCGGTCGGTGTGCACCTGGAAGCCGGGGGGACAAATGCAACGGAAGGAGCCCTCTCGGTTCTGGCACGTGCCCGGCAGGCAAATTCCAGCGAGGCGGAGACACTCGTTGATGTCTGTGGAGAGAAGAAGGGGTCCCCGCACCAGACCGTGGCAGGATGCGGGCCGGGGCCCGGACCAGCGCCCACAACCACTGTGATTGCTGAGGGCCCCAGGGCAAGGCATCCGTGTGGCAGTCCTGCAACCGGAGGAAGGGCTGAGACCCAGGAAAAGAGGCGGCTGGGGAAGGACGTTCTGGGTCCTGCTGGGGGTCAGAGGTGGAGCCAAGTGGTGTTCAGTGGAGGAGGGAGCACTGTTTCTCAGCCACCTGCAGACCCCTTTCAGTTTCCATGGCATCCACTTCACATCTCCAGTATTTGGTCCTTTTAGTAAACTTCGATTTTTCAAGAAATCTCACCCTAAATCACAAACTCTGTGAAAACATGGGTGTGATGTGCTGGTTTTGTTTCTTTCTGTATCTTAAACTAAATCCATGATTATGAAATGGAACCATGATCATGCGGCAGTATCGACGGCATGTCAACTTGAAGCAGGGACTAGCCGAGCCAGCTGCCAGCACTCGGCAAGACTCACCCATACAGTTCTTCCCATCGGGCGTGTGCTCAAATCCATCCTGACAGAGGCAGTGAAAGGAGCCGGCTGTGTTGAGGCACTGGCCAAATCGGCACACCTGCCCTGCCAGGGTGACGCACTCGTCCGTGTCTGCAGAGGGAGAGGGGCAGGTGGGGTCACCTGTAGCACCGGGGCTCTGAACGTCCACCGAACTTCTGTCCGCAGCGAAGTTGATGCCAGTGACTTCAGTTTATGGGGCGCTCACGTGGCAGGTTCTGTATATTAATCTGTCAATATCCTATGAGGCCTATACCAGTTTTTTATTATCATTTTTAATGCTATGAATTTGCCTCTTGACATGCCCTTCACTGTACCCCACACATTTTGTCGTTTTTACCTTCATGTAATCTGAAATATTCTAATTCCCCTTAATATTTCTTCTTTGGTCTATGTATTCTTTAAGAGTATATTATTTAATTTCCAAATATCCGGGGATTTTCTGTATATCCTTTTGTGACTGATTTCTGGTTTAATTCCCTTACATTCTGAGGGCTTAATACTTTGTGTAACTTCATTCTTTTAAATTTGTTAAGGATTGTTTTATGGCCCAGATTATGACCTTTCCTTGTGAATGTCCACGTGAACTTAATAAGAGTGAGTATTCTGGAAAGTTGTAGAAATATTAGCCAGGTCAAGGTGGTAGACAGCATTGCTCAGGTTTTCTATATTCATACTAGTTTTCTATTTGTTTTCTTTATGACTGAAGGAGAAACGTTGACGTCTCCAACTATAATGTAATGTGAATTTGTCTATTTCTTTTTCACTTCTGTCAATCGTTACATCTTTCAAAGCTCTATTATTACATGTCTGTATGTTTATGATTGCGATGTCTTCTCAGAGAAGTGATCCCTTAATCAATATGCAGTGTGTCTCTTCATCTCTGATGATATTCCTCATTTGAGTCTATTTGGTCTGACATTAATATATAGGTAGGTACCATTATTAATGTTTTACAGAGGAGGAAACTGAAGCACAGAGAGGTAAATGACTTGTCTAGGGTCACGCAGCTGGCAGGTGGCAAAGCTGGGATTTGAGCTTACACCGCCTGAATTGGAATCCATGCTCTCATCCACTGCACTGAACTGCCAGCATCACAGCTCCCAGGTTTTGCCTTCACTCATCTTCCTCTCTCTATTGTCTCTGTGCCTCTCATCAACCTGAGTGTAAGCTCCAGGGAGGGACTCCCTGGCACCGGACACCTGAAAGGGTGTGGGAAACTTTGTGGTTCCCTTGTTTTCAATCCCCTGTGGTTGTTTTTCTGAAGGGATGCATGGGGTGACACCCACTTTTCAGTGGGGTATACTGAGGCCTGCCACCAGCCCACACAGCTCACCCGTGCAGTGTCCTTTATGTGTCATTGCAAAGCCAGGGAAGCAGAGGCAGTTGTAGGAGCCAACAATGTTCTTGCAGGTCCCGTTTCCGCATGGCTGCTGGTCACACTCGTCGATGTCTGTCAGAGCAAAACCCCTGGTCCCCTCCCAGCTCACCCAGGGCAATGAGTGGCTTGGGGAGTGAGGGGCTGGGAAGTACTCATGCTACTACGTATTGCTCCATTTTTCTGATGGGCAAACTGAGGCACGGGGAAGTGAATATTTTCCCAGGGTCCTAACCAGGAAGGATGAAAGCACTGTGTGTGCCCCAGAGGAGGCGCAGATCCATGGACTCCAGCCTTTGGCTGCTTGACCTGCAGAGGGGCAGGAGGGGGCTCTCACCCATGCACAGGGTCTGGTCTGCTGAGGTCCGGAAGCCACGGTGACACAGGCACGTGTAGCTGTCCTCTGTGTCCACACACTTGCCATGGCTGCAAACACCTGGGATCTCGCGACACTCGTTGCGTCCTGGGAAAGGGCCGGCAGCACGGTGTCTCCAGCCCCTGCCCCCAGTGTTCCCTCAGCCTCTGCATGCCCTGATGGGAACCTGCCTGCAAAGCCCCCGTTAGGCTGCTGACAGCACCGAGTTCAGTCTTCACTTCTCATTTCAGCCTCATTCCTCCCCTACGAATGGCTGCTCTCGGCACCCCCACCAGCCCACACTTCAGCCAAGCAGAATGGGCCAGACAGAGCCGTGCCTTACCCAAGTCACAGTGGACAGAGCCTGGCTTTGTCCTGTCTCCCACTTCTTTACCTCCCTACCCTGTCCCTGCTGGGGTTGCTGCTTACCCACGCAAGCCCCGCCTGGCGACGCCTTGTACCCTCGGGCACACTTGCAGTGGTAGCTGCCAGGGATGTTGGTGCATTCGGCTTTCTGCTGGCAGGGGCTCTCCCCACTGGCACACTCGTCCACATCTGGGGACACGGTCAGTGGGGCGGGGGTGAAGGAGAGGTTTCCCTGTCAGAATCGCACCCTGATCCCAACCCCCAGCTTCTGAGCGGGTGGTGTCTCCAGAAGCAGCCAGAAGCACAGTGAGGGTGGTCATGTGAGATGGAGGCCCTCAAAAAGACATTGGTCTCATCATGCAGACAGGGAAACTGAGGATCAGAGTTTAAATGACTTGCCCAGAGAGTACGGGGGTGGGGGGACCAGCACCCCACCCAGGCTGGGGAGGCGGGGGCAGCACCTTGGCAGAGCAGCAGCACGCCGTTGTAGCTGAAGCCTGCGGGGCACTCGCAGAAGAAGCTCCCGACCTGGTTGACGCAGACGCCCCCGGCACAGATGGTGGGGATCTCCCGGCACTCGTCGATGTCTGGGAAGTGCGTCAGCATCAAGGGCAGCCCCGCCTGGGGCCGGAGCTAAGGGACCTGCATGTCTGGGGGAAGACGCCGCCACAAAACAGCCCACGCTTGAAAAATCCTGCTGTGTCCAAAACATATCCACTCACACGGGAAAGCAGTCAGGATGTCGGAGAAAAGGCCACAGCAGGAGAGTCTTTCTCAATTAAAATGCTGTGTGGCGTCTACTGGAATAAAGTGGACCTCGCAGGGACATCCTGGGACGATGCTTAGCAAGAAACTGGAAACATCAACAGGTGAATGGACAACAAACCATGGTCCATCCAAACAAGGGAATAAATATCATTCACCCTTCAAAAGGAAGGAAGTACTGACACGCTGTAACACTGGATGAACCTTGAACACATGATGCTCAGTGAGAGAAGCCAGACACAAGAGGCCACATGTTTCATGATTCTATTTATGTGAAATGTCCAGAACAGGCAAATCCAGGGATGGAAGTAGAACAGTGGTTGCCAGGGGCTGAGGGCAGACAGAATGGGAGTGACTGCTCATGAGGACGGGGTCTATTTCTGAGAGATAAAAAGGCTCTAAACTTAGAGGGAAGTGATGGTTGCACAACTCTGTGAGTACAAGTGACCCTGAACAACACAGGTTTGAATTGCACGGGTCCACTTACATATACATGAGTCTTTTCTCCAATAAATACTATGAAGGTATTTTCCGTTCCTTATGACTTTCTTAATAAGCTTTTTCTCTAGCTTACTTTATTGTAAGAACACAGCACATGGCCCTGACCAGTGCGGCTCAGTGGGTTGAGCGTCGTCCCAAAAGGGGAAAGGTCACTGGTTCGATCTCTGGTCGGTATGTGTGAGAGGCAACCTAGTGATATTTCTCTCCCTCTCTTTCTTTCCCCTTACCCCTCTCTCTAAAATTAAGTAAATAAAATCTTTTAAAAAATAGAGTATATGATACACATAACATACAAAATACGTCACTTGACTGTTTATGTTATTGATAAGGCTTCCAGTCCACAGCAGGCTGTTAGTAGTTAAGATTTTGGGGGAGTTAAAAGTGATATGATGATTTTCAACTGCGCAGGGGTTGGTGCCCCAACCTTCCCATTGTTCAAGGGTCGACTGTTTACAAAAAACCACCGAGCTGTGCAGCTCATACGTAATATGTGAACCATGTCTCCACAAAGCTGTTATAGGTAAATAAAGAACCAAGGGACACTGCCGCGCCCATCTGTGGGGGACGCGCTGGTGGCCAGGGATGTGTCCGCACATGGTGCAAAAGAAAGCAGGGCCAGGGAGAGGCAGGGCCACATACAATAGCCTGGCCTGCCCTTCGCCACTTATTCCTGGGTGAAAAAAGAAAGTGACAGACCTGTATGTAGAATTTCTGTCAAACTCCCCAGAGAACAAAGCCACACATTTCCAATAGACCTTTATGTGTCCACAAGTGCGTGAAGAAAGAACTACAAAGAAGCACTCGAGGCATGAAGCACGGGAACCTTAAGGGAGCGTGAAGGGAACCTAGATTTGAGACCGTGACTGGAGGAGAAGTAGGTCATATCTGCCATGTTCCCATTGTTTAAAACAAGGAAGGTAAAGCCATGGGGTAAAAACAACTGGAAATGAGTTCATCAATCACCCGTTAAAGGCCACGTAGCTGAACTTGGCATTTAGGTATTAAATTGTATAAAACCTCATTGAACTTAAAAAGGAAGCGTTCTGACCAGCAACACGGATGAACTCTGGGGACATAATGCCCCGTGAAATAAGCCAGACACCGAAGGACGAATGCTGTGCGGTTCCACTCACAGGGGCCCCTAGGGGAGCCAGGTCCAGAGAGACAGAAGGTAGAGGGTGGGAGCCAGGGGACGAAGGGTGGGACGGCCACACAGTAACGTGAATGGGCTCAACGCCACCGGCTGACAGTTAGGAATGGTCACAATGGGAAATAGCGTGTTATTCTAGTTAATCAGCATTTTAAAAAAATGAACAATTTCATAAAAACACTCTCATCGTTGTTGTCTTTGTAGGAAATAATAATAAAGGAACCTGGGGGCAGGATCGCTGGCCTGGCCTGGGGGCACTGGAAATGCAGGGGCATGGGAAGGGGCGGGCGGAAGGGCTAACGCTGTGGGGGAGGGGAAGAAAGAGGGCCGGACTCTGGGGACAGGGGGACCTGAAGACACTGGGGGGGTGGCAGTCACTCACCGAGGGGCTTCCCTGTGCGCGTGTCAGTGACGAAGCCGGGGACCTGGTTTCCGCACAGGACCTGGTAGTCCACTGGGCAGAGAACAGGGCACGGGCGCTGGGCCGCGGCGCCCTGGGGGGACACCTGCTCCACCCCTGCAGCCCCGCCCTCACCTGACCTCTGGTGCTGCCCCTTCTCCCTCCCTTTGCCCAGCACAGAGAGGGAGTAAAGGCCGCCATGCACCTGCACAGTGTGATCTTCCCACACACAGACACAGAAACAAGCACGCCCCACTGGCCTCGCCGTGCAGGGAAGACTCTTCTGCTTGGGCCTCAAGACCTCCACCTTCCCTCCAACAGGAACTCCTGCCCTCCCTGCACATGGATGTCATTACATGTCTGGATACGCCCTGTCCCACCAGGCCATCACAGCTTTGCAATGCTGTTCCCTAGCACAGCACCCATCAACTTGGAGGACTCAGGGAAGCCTCCAAGGAAGGCCCTTTGGGCTCCCCCTGACCTGCCACTCTGGCCCCGGAGGGCTGATCACAGTCCACTGCTGGCGCCAAGGTGCTGCCTGCCAGACCTCGATCCCCAGGAGCGGGGGTTGACCCTGCACCCACTGGGTGGGTGCAGGCAGGCTCGTGGGCCGGGTTACCTAGCCTCACTCGCTCCTCTGCCTGCATCGTAACGAGGCAGGCCAACCTCTGTGGTCCTGCTGCTGGTGGGGACTTCTGCCTCACAGTTCTGTGCCTGTACATCAGATTCAGGTTCACAAGATCCGGGCAGGTACCTAAGTCCCAGTATGTAACTCATGGTGACATTCAACCTGTCTCGACAGTCTCGTGGCTGTTTGCAGCTTCCTTCCAGGCTGCACAGCTTGGGTCTGTGTTATCCTTGATTCCTAGAACCCAGGACAGGGCCCAGCAGCACCCGGAGATGCCCAGTAATGACCCCTCCCCACTGCACTCCACGGGAATAATGACCCCACACCCCCAAGTTCATGTCCACTCACAACCTCTGAATGGGACCTTTCTTGGAAATAGGGTCTTTGCAAATGTAATCAAGATGAGTTTATCCTGCATTAGGGAAGGCCCTAAATGCCATGACTGATGTCCTTGCAAGAAGAGGAGAGGTAGACAGAGATTCAGGGAGAAGCCATGTGAGACGACGGCAGAGGCAGAGGCTGGGGTGAGGCAGCGGGAGGACAAGTTAGCACAGGGACGCCTGGGGCCACGGAAGCTGGAAGATGCAAGGAGACTTCTTTCCGGAGCCTCTAGAGGCAGCATGTTCTGGCCGACACCTTGAATCCTGACTTCTAGGCTCCAGAACTGTGAGAAAATACATTTCTGGGTTCTTGAAACTATTGAGTTTGTGGTAATTTTTTACTGCAGCCCTAGGAAATGAGCTGTCTCAGTCTATTTGGGCTGCTATAACAAAATATCACAGACTAGGTGGCTTGAACGACAGATACTTTTTTCTCACAGTTCTGGAGGATGGGAAGTCCAAGATCAAGACACCAGCATGTTCAGTGTCTGGCGAGGGCTCTCTCCCTCGTTTGCAGGCGGCCACCTCCTTGCTGTGTGCTGACATTACAGAGAAAACCTCTCCTGTGTCTCTTCTCACAAAAGCACTCACCCCATTCAGGAGGACCCCACTCTCATGACCTAATCACCTCCCAAAGCGGGGACACACACACCCAGTCCGGTAGCACTAATAGGACGGTAACCCTTCCAATCACTGCTCTGTTCCTGCAGCTCTTTCTGACACCTGGCGGGCTGCTAAATCATTCTAGTAGGTTTCATCCCAGCGGCTCGGTCCTGCCTCCAAGCCTTTGCTCATGCTGTTCCCTGCCTTGAGCAGCTTTCTTCATCCTGGCCAACGTTTTCAGCGATCCTCCCCAGATCGTCCCCTGGTTGCTCTAACCAGCTGGGCTCTGCGACCTGGCCCAAGTCAACAGTCCGGGAGGCTTCAAGGGCCTTTGCCACAAACGAGAGCCTTGCCCAACCTGAAGGTACTGATTTCCATACACTGGGATATAGCTCAATTCTTCCCCTCTCTTCAGAATATCGCAGACTCACAGGGGAGCCTGAAGTGGGGAATGCCCCCTAACACAAGGCACTAAAGAGCGCGAAGCTGGAGAGGTGGTAGGGAGGCAGGGGCACTCACGGCTGGCAGGGGCAGGGCAGGCCTGGCAGGGCCTGTTCCAGGCCTGGCCGATGTTGTAGGAGCAGCAGCATATCTTCCGAGTCACATTAAAAGCCAGCTCATCCTGACATGCGCCGTTATGATGTCGGAAGCAGAGGCTCTTCCTTGTGTCTGCAGGTGAGTTGGAGAGAAGAGCGTAGGTAAGAGATGCCAGAGCCAGAGGAAGCGAGGACCAGACAGACAGGACCTTACTCACAAACCCATCGGGATGTCTCTATCACGGCTCACTTAAGGCGGCCATTCACAGCCGAGCCTTCGCTGGGCAGTGCCCAGCGTGGGACAGCCGCCCCTGGCAGCCCTGGCCCGAGCCCTGCAGCCTTGCTCACTGCTGCGAACCGCACCTTAAACGCACTCCCTTCCCTCTCTCCCCTCCACGAACACGCCTCTCCACACTCTCCCAAGGCTTGGAGACTCCCAGAAGTTTCTCCCACACCCCAGCGCTGCTTCCATGATGGCCAGAGTCCCCTGGCATTGTGTGCTTCGTACCCAAGCAGCCACTGCCATTGTTTACTTGCAGGTACCCCGCAGGGCAGACACACGTGTAGTTCCCCAGGGTGTTGTAGCAGGTTCCCGGGCTGCAGATGCTGGAGTGGGTGGCGCATTCATCTATGTCTGTGGGGGAGGGTGGGGCAGTGTCAGGAACTGTCGGGATAGCCTCCCACACCGGGGCTGGTGGAGCCGCTTCATTATCGGCTTGCATTTGGTGTCAAGATTAGCTAAAAATGCAGACATTTTAGTGACATGGAAAGATATGGCATGGTGTTAAGTGAAAAAAATTTTACTATGCTCCCACTACTATATTTTTATTGATTATATAGAGAGAGGAAGATGGAGGGAGAGAGAGAAAGAGAGAGACCGCTCTGCTGTTCCACTTATTCATGCAATCATTGGTTGATTCTCATATGCACCCTGACCAGAGATTCAACGGGTGACCTTGGCGTCTTGGGACGACGCGCTAACCAGCTGAGCTAGCCAGCCAGGACCTGATCCCTGTCCTGTTAAGACAAAATATGACCTGACCCCATGAGTTAATTATATTATCACCAAGAGTGGGGCAAACACGTGCTTCCTAATGTGATGCGACAGGAAGCAAGAGACCCATGAATAAAGTATTCTTGTGTCAGAAAACAATATAAACAATATAAACACATTAAACTGGAGCCAGAGCTGCCATCCCAAAGGAGCTGCCTCACATGTCCTGTGCCTCAAACCTTGGAAGGTTAAAAAACAGGGCAAAGTAACCTTTGGACAGGGCTTAAAGCAACCTGTGTCCCAAAGAACTGTTTGCAAGGATAACAAGAAGGCAGATGTGAGGACTACTGGACTGAAAAGTAAACATTCTTTAGCATTAGCATCACAACATTAGCTTATCCACACCAATGCAATGTCTTCCACCTACAGATTTAACTATGTCCTTTCCTTTTCTCAAAAATACCCCTCGTCTTTGTTTAATTAGAACACTGTTGGGCTTTTGCCTGAAACCCAAATAATTTTTTTTTAATCTCAAATAAATGCTTGTTGCTTCTCGCTTTGGAAGGCCTTTTATTTTTAGGTTATCAACACCTTTAAAAAAATGTTGATTCTCAATCTGATTAATTCTCTAGTCCAGAAGGAGCAAATTTTCTCTGTAAAGGGCAGAGAAATTAAGTTGTTTTCAGTTTCATGAGCCAAGCAATGGTCTCGGACATAGCCATTCCCTCTGCACTGTGGTGTGAAGCAACAGATGACAGGTCAATAGATTAGCATGGCTGGGCTCCAATGAAACTGGGTGGGTGGGATGGGAATTTCATGTAATTTTCATGTGTCACGAAATAGTATTCTTCTTTTAACTTTTTTCAACCATTTAAAAAAGGTAAAAAGTATTCTTGGTCAGTGGACCGTTCAAAAACAGACGCAGGAATACAAGCAGGCTAGGGATGATGCCACCAAAACAGCCGAGCAGGGGCGCCAGAGCTCCGTTTCCCCACAAATACGACCAGTGAACTGGCAGAGAAATGGCAACCAACTTTTGCAGGACTACAGAATCTAGTCAAAACTTACTACAATGAGAGAATCTGATATATAGCAAATCCTAATGAATTGACAAAGTAAAAGCCATTAGAGCTAATAAATGAGGTCAGCACAATTGCAGAATATGAGAGCAACACACAAAGATCACTTGTATTTCTATATACTACCAATAAATTTAACCAAAAAGGTGAAAGACTTATATGCTGAAAACTACAATTACTGAAAGAAATTAGAGAAGACCCACATAAGTGAAAAGACACCCTTGTGTACCAGATTCGAAAACTTATTGTTAAGCTGGCAGTACTTCCCAAAGCGGTTTAAAGATGCAGGGCAGTTGTCCTCAAAACCCCAATGACTTCTTCTTCTTCCTTTTTTTTTTTTTTTTTTGAGAAATGGAAAAGCTGATCCTATAATTCATATTTTGCAAAAATGCAAGGGATGCCAAATAGCAAAAACAATGTTGGGAAAAAGAAAAACAAAGTTACAGGACTTGTACTTCCCAATTTCAAAATTTACAAAGCTACAGAAAGCAAAACAGTGTGGTACTGGCATAAGGACAGACTTATAAATCAATGAGAAAAATTTAGAGTCCAGAAACAAACTCTTATGTCTACAGTCAACTGATTTACAAGTCAATTCAATGGGAAAAGAAGAGTCTCTTCAACAAATGACACTGGGGCAACTGGATTTCCACATACGGAAGAATGAAATTGTATCCCTACCTCACACCACATACAAAAATCAACTCAACATATTTAGAACTAAATGTAAGAGCTAAAACTACAAAACCTGAGAAGAAAACACTGGAGTAAAATCTTAAAGACTTTGTATTTAGAAATGGATTCTCAAATATGACTCCAAAAGCACAAGCTAAAAAAACAAAAAACAAACACAAGCCACATAAATTGGAGTACATCAAAATAAAAAACCTGCATGCATCAAATGACACTATCAAGAAAGTGAAACGACAAGCAGAGTGGAAGAATCCATTTGCAAATCATATATCCGACAAAAGGAGTCTTATATCCACAATACATATATACAAGACACTCAGAACTCAACAACAAAAAGCAAACAACCCGACTTAAACATAGGCAAAAGCCCTGACCGGAGTGGTTCAGTTGGTTGGACATGATTTTGCAAAGTGAAAGGCTCCCGGTTCAAATCCCCATCAAGGCACATGCCTGGGTTGCAGACTTGGTCCCCAGTCAGGGTGCATATGAGAGGCAACCAATTAATATTTTTCTCTCACATCGATATTTCTCTCCCTCTTTTTCCCTTTCTTCCCCCTCTCTAAAAATAAATAAATAAAGTCATTTAAAAAATAAAATAAAAATAAAAATGAGCAAAAGGCTTGAATAGACATTTCTCCAAAAGACAAGCAAATGTCTAATAAATATATTAAAAATGTTCAACTTTATTAGTTACCAGGGAACTGTAAATTGAAACTACAATGACATACCACTTCGTACCTACTAGGATGATATAACTTTAAACAACAGAAAATAAGTGCAGACCAGGATGTGGAGAAACTGGAACCTTTGTGTGTTGCTGGTGGGAATGTAAAATGGTGCAGCCACAGAGGGACACAATTTGGCAGTGCCTCAAAAAGTCCAACAAAATGTGGGCGCCCTGGCCGGGCAGCTCAGCTAGTTACAGCATTGTCCTGAGGTGCCAAGGTTTCAGGTTCGATCTCCAGTCAAAGCACATGCCAGGAGCAACCGATGCTTCATAAATAAGTGGAACGACAAATCATTGCTCCTCTCTCTCTCCACCCCATCTCTAAAAATAAATAAATTTAAAACAAGAAAACTTTTTAAACCCCATAGAATTAGCGTATGACCCAGTGACTGCAGGAGTGAGACAAACTGTTTGACAAGGACTGGCAACAGAATTTGCTCAGTGAAAAATGACCAGGGCTTCCTTGTCCAAAACACAAAAAATTTCCTGATAGTGATGGCAGAGTATTAAAGCCAGCCGGGAGCCCTCTGGAGCACAGGGCCCTGCTGGGAAGGGCTGCGAGGGTTGGCCCTACAAGGTTATGTGTCCAAGGTCAACATTCAGGTTAAAGTCTCCCTGCCCTGTGACAGTCACGGAACTTGGCACGCCGCCGCATTTGTTGACAGCGATTTTCTTTTTCCCTTGATATTTTACGGGATGGCGGAGGGATGAGATATTTTTCAAGCATTTTGGGTTCTGATTTTGGATTGACAGGTCCCACCACCATTGGGAAAGGTACAGAGGAAATCAGTCTTTTGAACTTAAATCTCTCCCTTCCTTCACCATTTCTTTGAGCTCCCAAACAGGGCTGCCCACGACAAAATGTATGCTTTCCTTGGGTGCTAATGTTGGTGTCTGGCAGGGTGTACCTGTTCAGCTAATATTGTTGAAAGAAAGAAAAGAATGGATTGCTGGATGAATAAGTGAATAAATGAATTTGGTACATTGCGTAGAAAGAGTTCTGGCTCAAGGATCAGAATGGCTAGGCTCAAAGCCTGTTTCTGTCACTTATTAGGTGGTGCCTCTCAACAAGTCACTTAACCTCCTGTGCCCTGGTTGCTACATCTGAGAATGGGGAGCATAAGAGGTAGCTGCCTCACGGGGCTGTCAGGATGGATGGAATAATAAGTACGGATGCTCGCGCCAGCGGCAAGGCACAGCCGCAGACACCAGGTCGCTGTTGGTAGTTACTATGATGCTCAAATGAGAAGAGAACGCGTGCAGCGATGCGTGGACAGGTGGGGCCGTTGCTTCTGTGTCTTCGCCTTCTCCCTGTGGGCTCTGGGCCTCTGCCAGCTTTTGCCCAGAGGGAGAAGGGCAGGGCTGCTGGAGGACAGCAGGGTCATTTCTGAGTGGGAGGAAGTCAAGGGGCTGGGCAGCCGGGAGCAGGAGGTGGCTGAGCAGAGCGCGGATGGGTGTCCCGGGACTCTGCCCGCCCTGCCATTGGGCCCCGGCAGCAAGGCAGGTGGACAGGCTCTCAGAGGCGTTTTAAGCCTCGGTGCCTGAGGAGAAGTGAGGCTGTGCGTGAAGGCAGGGTGGGCGGGGAGGGTCCAGGCTCACCCTCACAGGTACGGGTGACCTCCTGGAGGTGGTAGCCAGGCGGGCACTTGCACTGAAAGCTGCCGAATGCGTTGACACAGTCGCCGCCCCGGCACAGCCCCGGCAGGTCCCGGCACTCGTCAATATCTGTCAGGGAGTGAGAAGGCCGAGCTTGGGAGCTAAACCCCAGCGAAGGACTCGGGGATGCCCGCGCCCGGGCCTAGGCTCTCCAGGGGCCTCGAGGGGCTCATCCTGCTTCTTCAGTGGCACCTGGGAGCTGCTGGACATCGGGGGGCACGTTAGGGCTTGTCTGGAGACCACACCCAGACCCGGTGGGTCAATGTCACCCTGAATGCACCCCCTTTTCCTTCAGCTGATAGTCCATCCATCCACCTACCACATGGGCTTCCCGACGTACTGCGCCAACCTCGTCATGCCCTGTGCCCAGAAGGAAGGACGGCCACGTGCATGGCAGTGGGTGGATGAGTGAATAAGCAAGCGGATCCATGGACAAGAAGATGGACGAGTACACGGGCGGGTGGATGAGTTGATATGAGAGCAGATAAACGAATAGGTGGATACATACGCGAGAGGATGGGTGAATATATGGATGAGTGTATATAGATGTATGGATGGACAGATAAAGCAGAGCGTGATAAAGGAAGGATGAAGGATGTACGAGGAAGGGATGGATGGATCAATAGGTAAAAGAAGAGACGGATGAAAGAAAATACAAAAAATTCACCACAAACTAAAAGCACCGTTTGGCTTCACTATTGGGTCACCAGGGGACCTGGGTCCCCGCCCCAACACTGCCCACCTCTGCTCCAGTGAGGTAGTGATGAGAGAAAGGTCAACCAAGACCTTACCTTCCAGGATGACAGTGGCGGGGTTGGGCCGGAAGCCCTCGCCACCCGGGCATAAGGTCCTGTACGCAGCTGCAAGGGAACCAGGTTCTCGTGAGTGGCAGGGCACTTAGGTAAAGCCCAGGGAGGGGAGGAGCCCTAAGAGGGGCCCAAGAGGACGTCCTGCCTCCCTTTACTACACCAACTGCACCTTTTTGCCTCCTCAGCCTCTCAGGGACAGGTAACACTGGCCAATCCTGGGGGGGATCCAGTATCTGTGTGTGTATGTCTGCGTGTGTGTGTGCGCACGCGCGTGTGTGCAAACATGTGTTCAAAACGCCAGCAGACGGATAGTGTGGTAGTGGCTGGGGGTGGGGAGGGGGCATTGCTTCTGATCCCAAACCAGACCCTAGTGTGATCTCAAGTTTCTCCCACAAAAGGAAGACCCTGAAACCTCTACCTCCACGCCTGAATGATAGGTGGGTAGGTAGGCAGGTGACTCCCTGTTTCACACTGGAGGCTTTTGCACATTCTATTCTCCTGTATCTCATGCCCTTCCCTCTACTCTGCCTGCGAAACTCCTACTCATGCTCCAAGTCTTATTCAAGCCTCCGGCCCTGAGGAGCCTTCCCTCAGCCCCTTCCTCTTCAGGTTTCCTCCTGAGCCCTCGCTGTACCTCAGACAGACGCTTCCAAAGGTTCTGTTCTCAGTCCCGGGGCCAGGTTTATGGGTACAGCCACTGTGGCTTATGATTTTCTAGGTCCCCAGCACCAAGGGACCCCAGCACAGAGGAACCCTCAATGTCTGGAGGTGCAGCCAAGCACTCAAGGCTTGCCTACCGCCTGAGCGCACGAGCGAATATAAACAGGGAGGGATTCGCAGGAGGGCGCCTTGGACAGAGGCCCAGACAATGAACTGCCGAGAATACACTGTGTGACTCAGGCTGAGCCCCTCCCCGTCTGGTTCCTAGTGTCCCTCACTTAGCAGAGATGGCCCCCTAATCCCCGGGAAGGCCTGGACTGGGGCTGGGTCTCTGTGGCTCAGGCCTCAGTGCTCGCCTGCCCCGACCCTTTGGGACTCACTGGTGTTGGCCACAGGACACAGCGCGCAGGGGTTGCCCCAGGCTCGGCCCAGCGAGCAGCAGCAGGACGCGCGGAGGACGCCAACCCCGATCTCGGCACTGCAGGAGACGCCACCGTCCCCTCGGCAGAGCGTGTCAAGAAAACAGTTTCCGAGCCGGGTGTCTGAACGGGCAGAAGGGACGGTTAGCAGGAGCAGAGGGGAGATGGTGTATGTGTGTTTGTGTCTGTGCGAGACTGTGCACACATGTGTCTCTGCATGTGTGCACACGTGTGTCAGATGTGCGTTTCCGGACAAAAAAATTAGGCAGGGGCCAAGCAGGCAAGACTTGTGTGTCTGTGTGTGTCTAGAGCAGAAGGCTCTACCTCAACAGGCAACAGGGGGGAGCACTCTGGCCTGGGACCAGCAAGGTCCTGTTTGTCAGGAGTAGGTGGATTTGAACAGGGGGACAGGCCACGGTGACCAGGCTGTGACCCCGCCCAAGTCACAGAGCCCAGGGCCGCAGCCAGACCCAAGCAGGCACTCACCCACACAGCCTACTCCGCTGGGGTTCAGCTCGAAATCCTGGGAGCAGTTGCAGAGGTAGCTGCCGGGGGTGTTGACGCACAGGCCATTGATGCAGTTCCCCGGGTTTGCACACTCGTTGACGTCTGCGGAGCAGGGCACCGTCAGCAGGGAGCCCTCCCTCGGCCCACGCCCCTGACACTTTCCTCCTAGGAAACCGAAGCCCTGGATGCTGGGGGCTGGGCTGTGGCCTGTAGCCTGTGGCCCGTGGCCTGTGTCCTCCCCTGGGAAGAAAGCCAAGGGGACAGCAGCCTCGGGGTCTGCCCTGCCATATAACCAACATTTGGAACATGCTTTCAAACTAGGAGTTGGCAGACTATGACCCGTGGGCCTGAGCCAGCCCCTGCTTCTTGTGTAGATAAAGTTTTATTGGTACACAGTCACACCCATTCAACCGCCTGTCAGCGTTCCAGCTGCGATGGCAGAACTGAACACCTGTGACGGGGACCACATGGCCCCCAGAATCAAAACTATTTTACTGCCTGGCCCTTCACTAAAAAATTTTGCTGATCCTGTTTTTTTTTTTTAAATGCTCACCCGAGGATATGTTTATTGATTCTAGAGGAAGAGGGAGGGAGAAAGAGAGAGAGAACCATTGAAGTGACAGAGGAACACCAACTGGTTGCTTCCTGTACGCGCCCTGACTTGGGATCAAACTTGCAACCTAGGTATGTGTCCTGACTGGGAATCAAACCAGCAACCTTTCTGGTGCACGGGACAACGCTTCAAACAACTGAGCCCCTGGCTGGGGTTCTGGACACACAGTTGGGAGAGCACGTCAACAGCTTGGCGGAGGGAGCTCGCCTTCACTCGTTCACTCACTGCATTTACTCAGGAGATGATGGATGACAGTGAAGGTCAGTGGGAACAGGGCACACCCACATAGGCTACCCCAGGAGAGGATGTTCCAGGAGAGATCTGAGGGCATCAAGGGAGCGAGCCACGCCCCCACCCTGTCCTGCGTGCCCCGCCCCCCGCCCCCGGCCCCACGGGCCCACACCTGTGCAGCTGTCGCCACCGTGGTCCAGCTCGTAGCCCTCGTCGCAGATGCAGCGGAACATTCCGGGCAGGTTCTCGCAGCTCCCGAACACACAGAGGTTGCCCAGCACGCACTCATCCACATCTGTGGGGGTCCCAGGTCAGCCTGCCCAGCCCGGGGGGCCCGCTGCTCTGTCCCAGCCCTGGTGGCGCAGACCTCACCCTGGCAGGCGCGGTGGTCCTCCGTGGGGCGGAAGCCCACCTTGCACTCGCAGCGGAAGCTGCCGGGGGTGTTAAGGCACCACCCGTCCTCGCAGAGGCCTGCGTCCTCCACGCACTCGTCCCTGTCTGTGGGCCCCGAGACAGAGTATTGGGCTCGGCCGGCCAGGACCCGCATGGGGTGGGCAGGTGCCCTGGGCACTCGAGCGCTTCACTGTCACCTGAGGTTCCAGTAGCCCTGGGAACTCAGACCCCGACTGGGAGGCAGGTGACCAAGTCAGGGTCTGCTAGTGCAGGGGGGATGGCGCCCTGGGAAGACAGGGGACCTACCCACTCGGGATCCAGGGGGAGGGTCACGGGGACGTGAACAGGCATTCCGGCTCCCCATGTCCAGAAGGCTCCAAGCATTCGGAGCCGGGGGCAGGGCCGGAAGACTGCCCTCAGCGGCTGGGTCTGGCCTGCAGCCCCACTGGCTGGGGGCACACCTCCAGCATCCGCTGAGCCACAGGGTCGATGTGAGGCAGGAAACCGACTGACCGTGGCGGCCCCCCCAGAAGCCAGCCCCGCAGCTGCCCGCTCGGGCCCCTCCTGCCCTCTCCTCGCGCCCTCCCCAGGACCCACCTTCACAGGAGAGGCCGTCCCCGGCGAAGCCCGGGCGGCAGGCACAGCGGTAGGAGCCGGGGGCGTTGAGGCAGTCAGCGCCCGGGCCACACCGGTGCTCCTGGAGGGCGCATTCGTCCAGGTCTGCAGGACACAGGGCCACAGCTCCGGATGTGGGTCCTGCCCCCAACCTGCCCCAGCTTCCCTGCCCCGACCTCCTGCCACAGGCACTCACCGCGGCATTCGAAGCCGTCCCCGACCCAGCCTGGCCAGCACCTGCAGCGGAAACTGCCGAGGAGGTTCAGGCAGGAGGCGTGGCCATCACAGCTGTGTCCTCCCAGCTCACACTCGTCCACGTCTGAGAGGAGACGGACCCGGTTACAGAGGGGCAGATCAGCAGAGGGACAGAGCACCCCCACAAGGCCGGGGCTTGTAGAAACAGGGCTTCGGGTGCAGAGCGTAAGGGCCCCTTAGGACACAGCTGAGGCAGGTATGTCCTCACGGCTGCAGGAGCGTCCACCTTCACCAAAGCCAAGGGGAAAGCCCCAAAGCCGACAGGTATGACTCCCAGCAGCCCTTAGAAATAATCTAAAATGGCAGCATGAGAGACTTAAGGTAGACATGAAGAGTGTCTGTCCTACACCTGAAATGAATATACATATTGTGTATCAACTGTAATTGAAAAACAAATTTAAAATAAAGAGTTGGGGGTGTGAAGCTGAGTGGAGGTGGACAAAGGGTGGAAAAGTGGGGACAATAAGAAAGAGTAACTGTCCTAACGTACACACTCCCTCTCTGAAGCAGGAGACCCTCCCGCACCTGCAGTTCCACCTCACCTTCACGTCCCTGCCACAACCGCCGGCCGCCTAAGTGAGCTCCTGTCTACTGAACGTTTCTTCCCACTGCCTCCCATTTTTACTCACTTAAATGCATTGTAACAGAAAAGCCTATGTCAACAACAAGTCTCTGAGAAGCCATGGATCTGATGCTCTATCACATAATGCTCGATTCCGGCATGTGTTACATAATTGCATAATGGTAACGGGAAGGCCCTGTGTTCCCCCAAAAGACACATTTAGGTCCTAACTTTCAGAGCCTGGGAAAGTGGACTTATTAGGAAGCAGGGTCTATATAGATGTGACTAAGTTAAGGTAAGGTCACCCTGGATGATGGTGGGCCCAATGTATGGTGTCCTTTAAAAGGAGGGAAATTTGGAGACAGAGAAAGCACCCTGTGATGAGGGACACAGAGACTGGAGAGCAGCAGGGGGCAGGTTCACCCTCGGAGCTCCTAGGACGGAACCACCCCGCCAACACCTTGATTTCAGACTTCGGAGCCCCCAGAGCTGCCGCCCTGTGCAGGGGACAGACGCTGGTGCTCCTCAGCCCCAGGTTTGAGGTGACAGGCTCCGGCAGTCCACCCAGTTCAAACGGTAGCTGTTGAAGTGCCCAAGTGCTGGTCCCTGTGTCCCGGAACATCATCAGGCTGCGTGCATGGGAAGGGCAGCTGGGGGCACCTTGGGGTCCGGGGCTCCCCGTGCTGAGCTGTTTGTTCAGGGGAGCCCCGGGACACTCGGCCGGGCCCTGCTCCTGCTTGAACGTGAGCCCCCGGCAGAAATCTCTACACACACAGTCTGCCGCGCTCTGCCTCAAGGGGCAGGGCAGCCCCCACAACCCCTCGGCTGGCCCCTCGGAGCCCCTCCACCCGCAGGCTGACGTCAGCTCACCAGAGCAGCCCGTGGCCCCGGCCCTGGTGACGTAGCCCAGCTGGCAGCGGCAGACAAAGGAACCCTTTGTGTTCTCACAGTCCCCGTGGAGGCAGATGTGGGGGTTCAGGTCACACTCGTTCACATCTGCGGGGTGACAGGAGAGGAAGCAGGTGAGCACGGAGAGGGGGCAGCGGCACCGCCGAGGGTCCTGCCACACAGACACCGTGTGTCGCCCTTGGCCCACCTCGGGGCGGGAGCTCCCACCGGTTCCAGCGGGCATGCATCTCATGCCGCCGTGTTACGTCCGAGTTTTACTGAGCACAGTGGACACGCATTTCCAAGGGAATTTTATGGCCAAATGCACGTGTTTACAGAACACGGAGTTAATCAAAGCCAACCAGGTCTGTTCTCCAGACCTTTTCAGAGACGTATGCCAATGTGGATCTGCAAGAAAGGCATGAAGTAGGCAGCATCCCCTAAATTTCTTTGGTTGCAAGGCCCTTTTCTTAGGGCCCTTTAAGCTACAGTGGGCTGGGCATGTCCTCTTGGGAAGCAATTACATTTTCTCTTCCTGGAAATTCGCCACTTGGTCCTCAGCTCTGTCCTGGTGGGGCCCCCAGTGCCCATCACCCCCAGCCTAGTGACCTGCAGCCAGGAGAAAAGTGACCGCAGCCCACACAGCCCAGGGCTCCATATGGGGCTCAGAGAAGGTGGTTCTGGGTGTCTTTCCTTCATGCTCCCCAGTGCTCTGCGCAAAACCCCTCAGAGATCAAGAGCTGTAGAATACGACTCTCGGAACAGCGCGTGAGCTCCCGGTGTGCACCCAGCACACAGCAAGTGCTCAGCAAACATACTTCAAAGGAGCAAGGTCTGGGGGTTCTGCTGCTATGAACGACACCCCGCAGGCTTTGGCGCCGGCCCAGGGCACGGAGGGCCACCAGCAGGCTGCCGGGCACCGCTGGAAGACCCGCTCTCCCCTGCGGGGGTGTGACAGGGCCGCGGCCCCCTCTCGCCCGCGGCGTGCAAGGCCTGCTGCGTGAGCGCTGACCCCGCCGCCTCCACCCCGCCGTCCTGGCTCCTCACCAGCACATGTCCTCACGTCCCGCGTGGCCACGAAGCCATCATAGCACAAACAGCGGTGACCCCCTGGTGAGTTGGCGCACTGGCCGCCGGCACAGATGTCCAGGTTCCCCTCACACTCGTCCACGTCTGGGGCAGCAGGACAGGCGCTGGGCTGCAGGCGGGCAGGGGTGGAGGGGGAGCCCCGGGGACCCTCCCCCAGGGTCAGCGGCCTGGCTTTGCCTAGGCCCCTCCATCCCGGGCGGTGGGGGGCGCTGCACGGGCCCACCTGCACATGCCCTCCCATCCGGCATCAGCGAGTAGCCACGTCCACAGCCGCACCGGTAGCCGCCCTCGGTGTTAACGCAGTGCACGGCACACCCTCCGTTGCTGGCCAGGCATTCGTTGACATCTGTGGGGGTTGGGCAGAGGGGGAGGGGCAGGGCCGGGGGAGAGGGTCAAGCAAGGGGCTGACGCGGGGCCCAGAGCTGAGGGCAGGGGGTTGAGGGTGGGGCCGGGGGCTGGAGGGTGACGTCCGCACGTGGCAGGCGGGTGCAGCCTCACCCACGCAGCCCCGGTGGTCAGGTGTGCTCTGGAAGCCAGCATGGCAGGAACACTGGAAGGTGCCGATGATGTTGACGCACTGGCCATGGGGACACAGGCCATCGCTCAGGGAGCACTCGTCTACATCTGTTGGGGTAGCATGTGGAGGCCACCTGCACAACCTGAGACACTCAGACACACGCACGCTGATGAGCTCATGCTGCAGGCAGCCACACACAAACACACCCTCACACGCGAACACACTACCCTTGTACACACACACACACACGATACACACACCCACACGCATATTCACAAACACACCTTCACATACAAACACAATCACCCTCAGTACACACACATTCACACCAGACACACACATCCACATGCACATTCATGCAGATGCACAAACACACCTCACACCCACTCACAGGCAAACTTACCTGCCCTTGTGTTAAAAATGAGACACTCATCAGGTAGGCTCAAAACCACCCTTGTGTAGGCACTCACGTACAAACAGTCACTCTTGTAGAGGCGTATTCACATATACACGGACACATCCGCGAGGTCACACACACAAATCCACATCCCTCCCTCTCACACCCACTTGGCCACACTTCACACACAGACACACACTGACTGAACTCGCATGCTTGCTCTTCCACTTTCACATCCACACATACACATGAACATACACCCCCACTACCTCCTACATGCAACCACTCCGAGACATCCTGGGACGCGCGTGCACACCCACGCAGAGTACACACTCAGAGACACACACACACTCCCAAGAGCGCCCGATGTCGCGCTCGCCGCCCGGCGCGCGCGCACCCTCACAGGCAGCGCCCTCCGCCGTCAGCGCGTGTCCAGGAGGGCACTGGCAGGCGTAGCTCCCATCCGTGTTGGAGCAGGTGCCGCCCCGGCACAGCAGCGGGTCCCGCGCGCACTCGTCCACGTCTGAGCACAGGGAAGGAGAGGGCAGGTGTGAAGAGGAGGACACGGGTGGGTGTGGCATGGCTCCCCAAACCTCTCCCTGCGGTCCCCCCTTCACTGCCCGGTCACCCCAGCTGAAGCCAGGAGAGCCTGGGGGCTTGAGGCACCAATGACCCAGGGAGTGGAGCTGGGCCGGGAGGAGCAGCAACAGTCAGGTGGGGCGGGGAGCTGGAATTCCCAGGAGAATCGGGGGCCCCAGGCTGACACTCCTGGAGTCCCCAGGGAGGCTCTGCGAGGCGCCCCCTGGCGGACACAGGGGGAAGGCAAGGCCCAGCCCGAGGGGCTGCGACGGCGGGAGCAGCCTCCCCTCTCCCCCATGCCATTCCCACAGGCACGTATCCCTCAGGCACACCCAGGGCCTGTGCACGTGCTGCTCTTTCCCCAGCCTCTCTTCTAGCCCCTCTTCACATGCTTCACTTTTACTCCCTCCGCCACAACCTCGAATCCGCAGAGTGGGACACCCCCAGGTCTATGCTCCCACTGCACCCGGTGGCCTTTTCCAGCGCTTCCCACAGTGGCCCTTCTGCTTTGTTCTGAGGGTCTGTATCATTAATGCCTGTCTCCTCATTAGGCCGTGAGCGCAAGAAAACAGCTCTCTGTTGCCAAATTTCCCCCAGTTCCCAGGGAGAAGCCCGACAGACAGTGGAGGGAGGGACAAGAGCCTCCTCCCTCCGGGGCCCCCTCCTCCCTCGCGCTCCACCCATCCTGGGAGAACTCCAGGTCGGTCCCAGCCTCCATTCCGCAGGCCAGACCCGACGTCCTTTGGGGATGGTGCCCCATGATGTCTACACTCACCGTGTCCCAGCAGGACCCCAGCAGTCCCCACACCTGCCCCTCTACCCGCGTCCCTCACAGCACAGTCTCCGCCACTTCTGCTGGACCCGGAGCCCCGCAGGCACGGTCCTGCCCAGGCGCTGCCACCCACCCCTGCAGCTCTTCATCAGCATGAAGCCACTCTCGTAGCCATGGAAACACTCGCACTGGAAGCTGCCGGGGGTGTTGACACAGGCGCCCTGGCCGCAGAGGCCGGGGGAGATGTGGCACTCGTCGATGTCTGGGGAGAGAGGGTTCGGGCCAGGCTACTGCACCTGCCGATGCACAGCGTTACCCAGGAGCCCCAAGCTGCTAACCCAAGGTGAGCGGGGACACGCGGGTCCTAGGACTGCACACCAGACGAAGGCAGGAATTTCCGCCCAGCCAGGGGGCCCCTGGAGGTCACCTTTACCAGACTCTTATCTTACAGTCATGGACTCTGAGGCCCAAAGAGGGTGGCAACCTGCACTGTGACACACAACAGGCAGGCAGGTCTGACAAGAGGCGCCTAAACAGGCGTGCCTGGATTCCACGTCCAATTCATGGCCCCCATCCCGACGGTGCCCCCGAGGCAGAGGTGGGCGTGTACCTGTGCAGTTCCATTCCTGGGAGTCCAGGGTGAAGCCCCGCGCGCAGGAGCAGTGGAAGCTGCCCATGGCGTTGCGGCAAGTGCCATGGGCACAGAGGCCAGGGAAGGCTTTGCACTCGTTCACGTCTGCGATGCAGAAGCCCCGAGTGTCGTCGAACTGCCTGGGCCCAAGGCCCAGATCCCAAGTTTTCCTACCCCCAGGCCTTTGCTCCCACCGGGCCTCTCCCCATGCCCCAGGTTCCCGGTGCCCACACGCACCTTTATAGAAGGGCTGGCCTGACAGGAAGTCTCCGCTGGCAAATCCCCGCCCCCGGGGGCATAGGCTAGCGAATGCCAGGGACTCAGGCACGGGGCACGCCTCACACGCGGCCCCCCAAGCAGCCCCCACAGAGCAGCAGCAGACGTCCATCCGGTGCTTGCCGGGCAGGGGGGCCCCACAAGCACCCCCATGGTCCTCGTTCCAGCGCAGGAAACATGGCTCCAGGCGCAAGTCTGCACAAGAGACAGTCACCAGCCCAGGCCCTGCCACTCTGCCTGCCGCCAGACAGGAAGCGCAGCCTCACTCAGCAGCACCGCCCAAAACCCCCTCCCCGACAGGGGCTGGAGTGAAAGGGGTGACCAGCTCCCACTGCGATTCGATGTCATCTAACAGCTACATTTTAACAATAACCCCCACCACTAGGGTATTTCCTATGTGGACACTCTTCTAAATTCATCTATCTGCTTAATCCACAAATAGCACCAGGACGAAATGTTATGCTCATTTCACAGGCAAGGAAATGGAGGCGTGGAAGGCTGAGGTAGCTTGTCTGAGGCCAGGCAGCTGAACGTAGTCAGGTTCAAACTAGGCCACGGGGCTCCAGAGGCTGTGCACTTTAACCTGTGACCCTCCAGAACAGTGGACAAGCCTTCCTCAACGCCAGGCGTGACAGGAGTGTCTACGACCGGGGAAAGCCAACGATGGCCCAGGGGGCCGTCCCTACTGTTGCACACGAAGCTTCACTGGCACACGGACACATCCACTTGTTTCCATACTGTCTGTGGCTGCCGTAGGCTGCATGGCAGGGCCCACAAAACCAAACTAAATGTGTTCACTCTCTGACCCTTTGCAGAAAGTGCGCTAATTCCTGGTCTAGGACTTTTTTCTCTTTACAAAAGGAACCTACGTTTAAGTGAACCAATTTGAGGATGAACCCTGTTATAGAATTTCTAGAAAAAAAAATCCGGAAGTGCTGTGATCCACACAGAGACCCTTAAGTTCTCTTGTACCCAGTGCCTTGGTCCCTGGCTAATGACTACGCCTGACCACACATCCCCATGGCACCTGGCCTTGACCCCGAGTTCAGTGCAGGAGGCCCCATTTCTCTTTACTCAGTTACTTCCTTTCGTGACACATTTTTTTGGGGGGCGATGTCAATGAAAAGGCCTGCAGCGCACCCGAAACTCGGGTTAGAAGGAAATCGCAGTTGGGAAGGGTCCCCAGTGCCATGTGCCTCAGTGGCCAGTCCCAAGGTGCCAACGAGAAGGCTACTAGGGTGTCGGTGGAACTACAGGTGGGAAAATGTAAGACATAGAGCCCCCCCTGCTGGCCGACAGGTGCTTGTATGAAGAAGCGTCCAGCTCAGGTGTGGAGAGGAGCAGAGTCAAGAAATCCTCATCCAGGGGAAAATGATCTCAGCCTTCGAACCTGAGGGGCGGCCACGGAGAGGGAAGGTGTGTGCCCGGGACGCTGGGGGAAGCTCATGCTGAAACCTTCATGCCAACCTTACCTGGTCTGGTCAAGACAAAGAACAGCAAAGCTGCAGTTGTCACTTCATGAGGTTTTACTATTTGCAATGAGCTTCATTAAGGAGACAGTTAAGAGGGTGAATCCCCCAAAATAAATGTCCTTCGAGACATGTCAGCAGGAGGTGGGCAGGGGATGGAGGGTCCCTGAGGGTCCCCTGTAAGCCCCCTGTCCCTAGGAGGGGTCTTCAGTCACTGGAGTAGAGGCACCAAAGGGCAGGCAGCTGCACAGGACCACGCACGGACTCACCCACGCACAGCCGGCCTGTGGTGTCCAGTGTCAGGCCCTCAGGACACTCGCAGTGGAAGGAGCCGGCGGTGTTGCGGCAGCGCCCGTTGGGACAGACCCCGGGAAAGGCCTCACACTCGTTCACATCTGGGCAGCAGCAAGCAGGGAGGAGAGGTGAGGCCTGCAGCAGCTGCTCTCCTGGGGCTCAGGACCCCCACGCTGTCCTTGGGGAGGCGGGAGGGGATAGAGCCAGCCTAGGCTGAAGGACCACAGGGAAGGTCTGGGGACCAAGGAGGCGGTCTGTCCCGATGTCAAAGACATCAGCCCTCATAACAGGCAGCTGCCTGCAGGCGGCTGGGAAGGTGGCTCCAGTGGGGCAGGGCCCTAGTTACCTTCGCAGGCGAGCCCCTTCAAGCGGGCAAAGCCACGGGCACAGGCGGGGTCTGTGGGCAGGAGAACCAGAGTGGGGACAGGGGTCCTCTCTCCATCCAGACCCAAGTCACCTGTTCTATCCCAGGCCTCTTGCCGGGGGCCCGGCAGGCCAGTGTCACAGCCGGGAGGCCCCCAGGAACCCACCCGGGGGGCCCTCAGGGCCTTACCCATCTTGCAGCCTTCACAGGGGCTCCCCCAGGCAGCCCCCAGGGTGGCACAGCACACGGACCGCAGAGCGGCTCCGCGCAGGTTCGCCTCGCAGCGGCCATCCTGGACAGTCAGCCAGCAGGTGCCCTTGGCGCCATCTGCAGGCGGAGGGGCACCTGTCTGACCTGCCGGGCCCACACCTGCACACCGACCGCAGAGGCCCAACCCCGGCAGGACACAGGTCAGGAGGCAGGGCCCTGAACTCGTGGGACCGGGACCTCTCACCTGGGCACACAGCACCCAAGGGCCCTGGTCAGCAGCCGGGCCACATGCACAGGGGCCGGCCAGGTCCCAGCACGCACCAGCCACAGAGGGGCTGGCCAGGCCCTCGTTGCAGTCTGCGATGACAGCCCCCACCTGGCCAGGCCCCCTGCTCCTCGAGGCATCGGATGTGCGTGAACAGACGAGGCGTGTGCACATGGGCAGAGCGCACAGGTGCAGGCACACGTGCATGCATTTGCACTGAGTCTTGCTGTGCTCCCGTGCGTGCACGCTGGCATGCAGGGCCCTGGGAGCGCACACGTCTGACAAGTGCGGAGACGGGCACAGTGGGGGATGGTGGCCCTCCGCAGGTCACGGCACAAGAGAACAAGAACAAGGTGAGGTGGGAGTGAGGTGGGCGCTGTGGGAAGTTCTGTCTGTAAGGGGAGGAGAAAAAGGAGACGGAGCCCGGGGCGCGGCGGGGTCCAGTGGAAGGTGTGCACGCGCACGGCTCTGTGCGTGCTGCAGTCCTGCGGACAGGCAAGGTCGCCACCAGTGTGCAGGCAACACTGGGTGTGTGTGCCTGACTGTGCGTGCGTGCACAAGCGAGGATGGGCACCTGTTCCTGTGTGTGGGAGGGTGTGTAAATGCACATGTGTAACTGTGAACCTGCATGTGTGAGAGCAATTGTAGGTACATACCTGCCTTTTGAGTGTATACATGTGTGTGGAACTGTGAGGGTGTCTGTGAATATGGGTATGTACCTGTGTTTGGGGGGAGTCCCCCATGTGTGTCAATCAGTCTCTAATCATGAACACATGTGTGAATATATGAATGTCTGAATGCATGCATAGTGCATGCTTTGAAGGAGTGGCTGTGCGTATGTGAATACAAATATGTAAAGTATGAGAATACATGAGTGTGGAAATGTGGGTATGAGGTCTGTCCAGGAAAAGTCCAACCGTTGTTAATATAATGAGAAGGGTCTACCTGACATTGATGCAACCTGGCAGCCAAGGAGAGTGGACTGGAATGCGCGTGCGTGAACAATGACCACTTCACTGTACTGGGCAGTGGGGGTGGCAGACTTCACTGAGTGAGCATGTGCACTGTGTGGCCGTTGCATTCAAAATGACTGCGCACGGAGAGCAATGAATCTGCATGAAATTTTGTGTGAAACATGAACATTCCTCCACAGAAACTGTTCAGATGACTCAGAAAGCTGCAGCCCTGGGCAACTGGTGATTGGCAGGTTCATCACAACCCGCCTGCTCATGCATCACATCTTGTGCGGTTTTTTTGTGAAATATCAAATCACTCAAGTGACTCTGCCCCCGCAGCCCAGATTTGGCACCCTGAGACTTCTGGCTTTTCCCAAAACTCAAATCACATTTGAAAGGGAAGAGATTTCAGACCGTCGATGAGATTCAGGAAAATACAACAGGGCAGTTGATGGCAATTGGGAGACCTGAGTGAGGTCCCAAGGTGCCTACTTTGAAGGGGACTGAGGCATCACTGTTCTATGTATGATGTTTCTTCTATCTTCTTCATAAAAATAAATGTCTGTATTTTTCATATTACATGGCTGGATACCTTCAAGACAGACCTCATATGTGAGTTTGAGTGTGTCCATAAGTGTGTATAACAATGAGACTGAGTGTAAACATATACACGTCCTTGAGTGTGAATGAGTTTAAGTGTATGTGGATGCAGGTATGTGCATGGCTTTAAGCATGAGTGTGCACACACACAGATGTAGTACAACCATCTGTGTGCATGTGTGTTCACAGAGCACACAGCCTATGTGTCTGAGTGCGCGGGCCTGTGCATACGCACCCACAACATCCATGCATGCCCGCCCACGCCCCGGTAGCATGCCCAGGGTCCTGTACCTTCGCAAGTCTGTGTGTCTGGCTGGAAACTGAAACCCTGGGGGCAGGAGCAGCTGTAGCTGCCGGGGCTGTTCCGGCACCACCCGTTGTCACACAGGAGGCTGTTGCGGGCACACTCATCCACGTCTGTAGGGCGGGGCGGGAGCGCAGGGTGAGGGCTGTGGAGCAGGGAGGCCGCCTGCCGCCCACCTGCCGCCCACCTGCCGCCCACCTGCCGCCCACCTGCCGCCCACGCCCGCTCACCAGCGCACTCCCTGCCGGTCGCGCTTGCCTCGTAGCCCAGGTGGCAGATGCACCGGTAGCTGCCCCGCAGGTTCTCACACACGCCATGGGCACAGACATCAGGGTCAAGGGCGCATTCATTGATGTCTGCAGCAGGGGGGGTGCGTCACCAGGGCCCTCAGAAGCCAGGTTCCCCAGGTCCGCACCTCCCACCCACACCCTGCTCAGCCCTGCAGACATCGCTGGCGGGGAGTGGGGGGGGGCGCGTTTCCTGCGGGGGGCCGCCCTGTGCAGTGTTACTGGATGCCGAGTGGCAGCCTGGCCTCCACCCCTGCGCTGCCAGAGGCACCCTCCCCAACCTTTCTGCAGACTTTGCCAAATATCCCCTGGGGGACAGAACCGTCCCCAGCTTGGAACCCATGGAACAGGCTTTCTACAGCCGCAGCACAACCAAAGTGAAAACATAAGCGTAAGAGTACAGGGCGGTTACTAGTTTGTGCCAAGCCCAGTAATGCATTTGATCCTTGCAACACTCCTAAAACGGGTCCTATTACTATCCCCACTTTACAGACAAGGAAACTGAGCCAAAGAGAAGGTAAGTGACTGTCCCAAGGTTATTCAGCCAGTAAATAGTGGCGCTGGGATTTGTGCCCAGGCTTCTGGGTGTGGGGTGGGGAGTAAGCAGGGTAGGATGTTTGTCCAGCCTCGGTGGCCCAGCAGTGGATGGAAAACTTGACTATCTCCCAAGTCCTTTTATTTCTGCTCAGTCCGTTTCTCCCTTCCTCCCCCTCCCTCCGTGTCTGGTCAGCAAACATGAAAAGAGACACGCATCAGTGTAGGAATAAGGCGCTTCGGACTGAGAGCTGCTGGTCACAGCAGGGCAGTCACGTGTCCCCCAGGGGCAGGGAGGGACGTGGTGGGGCACAACTCCACACCCAGTACCTCCACCTGTTCTGGGCTGAGGTGTGTCCCTCCAGATTCACATGCTGGAGTCCTGACCCCAGGGCCTCGGCGTGGGACCTTATTTAGGGACGGGGTCCTTACAGAGACAATTCAGTTCAAACAAGGTCATTACGGTAGATCCCCAAGCCATTGCAACGTGACTGTGTCCTCATAAAAGGGGAAATTAGGACACAGACGGGCACAGAGGGAGAGCGCCACGTGATGAGGGAGGCAGAGACGGGGTGATGCTCTATGCACACAAGCCAAGGAACCCAAGGAGCGCCCGCAAGCCCCCACGAGCCAGAGAGGAGCAGGGAGCAGAAGGCACCCCCGCCTTCAGGAGGGACCAGCCCCCGCCAACATCTTACTCTTGGCTTCCAGCCTCTGGAGCCATGAGAGCATGACTCTCTGGTGTGGAGACCCCCAGCCTGTGGTACTCACTTACCCCAGCAAACTGACACGGCGCCCCACCACACCCCTGCACTCCCCCAACACGCGGCCCCGCTTACCTCTGCCGTCGGGCGTCACGCCGAGACCACCGCTGCACAGGGTCTGGAACTCAGCTGGGTGGGCAGGGCAGGACGAGAGGGGCCAGGAGCCACTGCTAAGTGTGAGCCACACCCCAAGATGCGGCCCCCTGATGCTGGGCAAGAGTCTGGGACTAAGATGCCCCTCCAGCAGAGAGAGCAATTTCCTGCAGCGTCTTCTTGAAAAGAACGCCAGTGGAGAGGTGCCCCCAGCCCATGGAAGCCATGACCGCCATCCCCTCGTACCCCCGGGGAATGCACTGGAAACAAGGGCTGGAAGGTGCTCAGGGCCATGGAAAGCAGGGGACAGTGGCAGCTCACCGGAGCCCTTGGCAGGACACAGCTGGCAAGGCTCCCCAAACCCATGATCTGGGCTGGCACAGCAGCATTCAGATTTGGTCACGGCGCCAGGTAAGGGGCGGGCGCAGGAACCATTGTTGAGGGCCCCGTAGCATGAGCTGCGCACGCTGGTGTCCACACACACGCTGCCGTTGGCGCCCACCGCCAGCCCGCGCGGGCAGCGACAGCTGAAGGAGCCCTCAGTGTTGGTGCAGTGGCCGTTCCCGCAGATGCCAGGGGTCTGACACTCGTCGATGTCTGCAGGGGCCGTGGGGACACAGTGAGGGGTCCCAGACCCCTGCCGCCAGCCCTTCCCCTCCTCCCCATCGCCTCAGGTTCAGCCTCCGCGCTCACCGATGCAGTAGCGGCCACCGGGCGCCAGCAGGAAGCCAGGTTTGCAGAGACACGTGAAGCTGCCATCTTCATTGAGGCACACACCATTCGTGCACACGGTGGTGGTGGCACACTCGTTTTGATCTGGGGACCCCGGAACTGGCTGGATCCCAGCAGGCCAGGCCGGGCACCGGACCCTCACCGGGCCAGCCCTGCCTGTAGCCCAGGCCCTCCCGCCCACTTCTCCAGCTGGACTGCAGCTGAGCCCCCAGGTGCCTCCCGGGGGCACAGGCGCCTGACCAGACGAGGCCGTCGTCCACATCTGGGTGCCTACCAGCAGGTCTGGTGGAACCCGAGCCCTGTGGGGCCACGCTGGACCCACGCGCTCACATCTGTATCTTTGGTCCAGGCACACAGTAGGTGCTCCCTACATGTTGAGTAACTGAGGCGGTGGCTGCACAGCACTGCACTAAGTGCCACGGAATTATTCCTTTCAAAAGGATTAAAATAAAGTTTACGCTATGTGTATTTCACCAGCCAAAAAAAAAAAATGGCCCTGGCGGGTGTGGCTCGGCGGATTGAGCGCAGGACTGCGAACCAAAGGGTCGCCAGTTCGACTCCCAGTCAGGGCACAGGCCTGGGTTGTGGGCCGGGTCCCCAGTAGGGGGCACGTGCAAGGCAACCACACATTGATGTTTCTCGCACTCTCCTTCTCCCTTCCTTCCCCTCTTTGTAAGGGTAAATAAATAAAATCTTTTTTTAAAAATGCCACAATAATTGTATAAATGAGTGGTGGTTGTAGAGCAATAGGAATGTACCACCAAACTGTTCACCTAAACATGGTTAAAATGGCGAGTTTTACATACTGTGTAGATTCTACTGCAAAAGTTTTTGAATGAATGAGGTGGTGGTTGCACGACCCTGGGAATGTACAAAGTGCCACTGAATTGTCCACTTATAAGTGATTAAATGTATGTTGTATGTTGTGTAAATCTCACCTTAATTTTTTTAAAAAAATAAAAGACAGGGGAAAACAGTCAGAGAATAAGAAAATAGTCTGATTTAAGGGAAGGTGGCAGGTGCAGCAGTGAGCTGACCACCAAAGCATCGGCTCTGAACCATAAGGGCCCGCACGGAGAAAGAAGAAAAAGAAATGCCTAACGGGATTAAAGGCCCATAGAAACGTGTGCGCCGACGATCCCAGCAGCGTTATCCACAACTGCAAAAAATGGGAACTGCCCGGTGCCCATCAGATGATGGAAGGATAAACACAGTGTGGTCCACCCACACCCTGGAATATCACACAGTCATGAAAAAAGTGAAGCGCTGACACACGCGACAACACAGGCGAACCTCGGAACCATGGTGCTGAGGCACAGAAGCCAGGCACAAAAGACCACAGAGCCTGTGATTCCGTTTATACCAAATGCCCAGAACAGGAACATCCAGAGACAGGAAGTGAACCAGCCTAGTGCTGGGGGCTGGGGCAGGGAGCGAGGACTCGAGATGCCTGCTGAAGGAGACTAGGCAACAAAGGGGTGAACTCAGAGGCAGCGGTGCTCGCAACCCTGACTGCACTAAAAATCACTCAGCTGTACACTTTAAATGGCTACTTTTATGGTATGGGAATGATACATCAATACAGATGCTAAAAGGTTTGTTTGTTTTTTAAAAAATATTTTAATACTCTGCCTTAATTTTATTTTTAAAAATATTTTCTTATTTATTTTTAGAGAGGGGAAGGAAGGGAGAGAGGGAAAGAGACATCAATGTGTACTTGCCTCCTGAGTGCCCCGTCCCGGGGACCTGGCCCACAACCCAGGCGTGTGCCCTGACTGGGAGTCGAAGCAGCAACTCTTTAGTTTGCAGGTTGGCACTCAACCCACTGAGCCACACCAGCCAGGGCTAAAAGTTTTTTTTAAATGAATGAATGAATGACAAATGAATGCAGAAAGGAGAAAAATCCTTTCTGATGAGGGAAAACTTTAAGGCAAGTCTTCTCGAGAATGAAGGGGATCCCAGTGGCGCCCACAAATCCGCCAGCCGGAGCTCAGAGGGAGCCTGAGCGGGGAGCACTCTCACCGCCCTGATCCCAGGCCAGACTCCAGGGCTGTCGTGGGACAGGAGAGAGGGTGGGCTTCAAACCCAGGGTCAGGCGGCCCTTCCTGGAACTCACGGAGGGAATTTGGAAAGGAGGGAATGAGGGGAGAGTCAAAGTGGACAGAGACAGAGAGGCTCTCAGGCAGGCCGGCTGGGTTCAGAGAGGTGAGCAGAGGATCCGCCGTAGGGAGGGAGGTGGGTGTGCAGCAGGAATAAATATGCAACATGTCCCTAAAAGGCAGCTCGAGGGGCCCAGAAGCCCCCTACCCACCCGCCCGCCCTGGACTCACCCACACAGGCCTTGCCGTCAGGGCTGCGCTGGAAGCCTGCGTTGCAGACACACTGGAAGCTGCCCTCTGTGTTGACGCAACGACCGTGGTGACAGAGGCCACTACTGACGACGCACTCGTCCACATCTGGGGGGAGGGAGGCAGACGTCAGCAGGCAGCCCCCGCAGACCCGGTCCGGTCACAGACGCTGGCTACAGCCGGGCAGCACCCCCTTGTCGCCCCCACTCGCGAAGGGGCGGTCGTACCCATGCACGCCTGTTTGGAGAGTGTGGCCTGGAAACCCGCGTGGCAGCGGCAGTGGTAAGAACCAGGGGTGTTGATGCAGTCTCCACGGTGGCAGGGGCTGCTGGGGCACTCGTCCACGTCTGCGGGCAGAGGACCCTGAGCCCCAGCCAGGCAGGGCGCGCCCCTGCCCGGCCCGCCCGCTCACCTGTGCACTGCCCCCGGACGTCCTGTGCGTAGCCCGCGTCGCACTCGCAGCGGAAGCCGGAACCGGTGGGCAGGCAGCGGCCGTTGAGACACGGGTTGGTGGAGCGCCGGCAGACACCAGTGGTCTGGTTCAGGGTGGCAGTGCCTGCGGTGGGGACGCCAGGGGACACCTGAGCATTGGCCGGCTCCCCAGTGCAAGACCGGGCCTGGCCCCCAGGTCCCAACACCCACTCTGAGGCTGGGATGCTCTATGCCCAGGCTCTCCAGCTTCAGCTCAGAGTCCTTCCCCAGATTCCGAGCCCCACCTGGCTGGGACGGCCCCTCTAGGCCCACAGAGGCCCAGACCCCCACCCCAGCCCTAGACACCTACCTAAGGTCCAACACGGACTTTGAGACCCAGATCCCAAATCTCCCCACTCCCAGCTCACTCTGAGTCCATTCCTCCCGCCCAGGACGGCTCCCCGAAGCCTCCCTCTGAGGCCTGTGCCCCTCCCCCAGGTTTGGACCCTTCCTCCCAGCCCCAGGCCTTACCGAAGTTGGCATCTTCCAAGCCCAGGCTGGGAACTGCAGGCCCACTGGGGCTGTGAGGGTTCTGCTGTGCTGGCCCAGGGCCAGGACCCACGCCACCCCTGGATCCCAAGCCAGGGAGGTGAGGGAAGCGGCCAGGGTAGGAGGGCAGCGGCGGAGGCCCCTGGGCACACAGTCGCTGGAACTCATCTGCGAGGAGGCGAGCTTTGAGGCCAGGGCTCCAGGGCAGAGGGCGGGGGCAGCCCCAGGCCACTCACCAGAGCCCCGAGGAGGACACAGCTGGGGGACTGGGCCAGCCGCCCAGCACCTGCCGCTGCCACAGCAGCACCGCCTGTGGGTGTAGTGGCCAGCGAGGTCTCTGGCACAGCGGCCCACGGTCAGAACTGAGAAGCAAGTGCCGGTCTGGTGGTCTGCAATGGGAGGCGGGAGGATCGGTTCCCAGAGCTGTGTTCAAATCCCAGCTCCACCAGCACTGCCTGCAAGACAGGCCTCCTTGCCTCCCTGCATCCCGGTTTCCCCGGCCACAGATGGAGGTGCTCAGAGCACCCACCTCACCTCGGAAGACACCCCACCACTGTGTCTGGCAGGGGCCGATCCTCACTGAATGAGGACCTTCTTACCAAGATTGCCACGTTGCCCCAGGGAGGTCATTTTGGGGTCATGCCAAGCAACAGCATCCCAACACCTAAAGCTGCCACTGATAGAAAGCTCACCGTCACCATGGGTATCCAACCACATGGATGAAGACCCTCGGTTTGCATTTCTGCCCTGATGGGAGGTCCGGCTGGACTTCCAAGCAGGGACGCCTGGTTCTATAGCTGTGCCTCCCCACCTGCCAGCCCTGGGCATCCCAGGAAAACCCAAGGGGCTGTGGACTTGCGGAGGGGCCCGAGTAGCGGACTAGTGGACTGGCAGCTGCAGCCCCTGGGGAAACTGAGGCAGAGGCTCCCCAAGCAGGAGAACCACGACACTCTTCCATTTCCCACTATGTTCTTGAGTCTGATGGCTCTACTCGGTGTTCATGTTTCTTGGGCTCTGACACACAGAGAACACTTCTAGGTTTAGAAACGCACGTATCCTGGGAGGTGGCCCACAGCGGAGAACCACTTCCACCAGCTGGGAGGGCCCTCGGCCTGCCCCAGGCCCAGAGAACAGGCCATCTTCCCACCTGCCCTGCCACGCCCCAAACATCCGGGCCCCCCGGGGGCGGTGTGGCAGTCGGGGCTCTGTGCTCCCGGCACCACCCCAGGCCCTCAAGGGGGCCGGGTCTGCCCAGACAGGACAGGCCAACAGACTCGTTCAAGGTCGCACGGCTGCTGGAGAGGAAGGGGGTGCACACAGGAGCCCGGACCACTGTGCCCCGGGGGCTCCGACCAAGCCGCTGCCGCTCACGTAGGGAAGGCAAGAATTTTAACAAAAACGAAGCTGCCGCTGCTTGTTACGCACCCACCATGGCCAGGCCCTGCTAAGGGGCCACAGAGCAGCTCAGTCGGAACCCACAGCTGAACCCCAGGCCCATGTTCAGAGGCAACCTGACCGTGGTTCACATCTAGGCTCTGCTGTTTGGTAGCTGGGAGACGCCCCCAAGTCCAGGGGACGTGCCCCGCTGTATCATCCATGCCAGTCATGGGTGGTCACAGCACCGGCAGAACTCCAGGCACAGTGCTCCCAGTCCGGCCTGGTAGAAGCCTAGCCAGAGGGGGCCTGGGGGTGCTGCGGAACGGCCAAGCCCTGCCTCCCCAACGAACCAGGACTGCCCGTCCCCCACTGCAAGTGTCCGTAGTCCTGGCCTACCCTGTTGGCCACTGGCAGCCTCTAAATCTAACGGGCAGCTCATGAAGACGGCAGGACAGAGGGAGAGGCCAAGGGCCCCCTGCCCCAGGCAGGCTGGGTGAGGAAGAGCACAGGGGGTGGGTGTCCAGGGGGACGCAAGGCCCAGAGAGGCCCCCTGCCAGCTGGGAGGTCTGGAAAGCTGGATGTGGGCAAGCCCCTCGCTGGGCCTGTTTCCCTATCTCTAACAGTGCGCAGGGGGAAGACGGGATGCTCTTGAAAAGTCTTTGGAGTGGGCCCTGGCTGCTGTGGCTCAAAGGGTCACCGGTTCGATTCCCAGTCAGGGCACATGCCTGGGTTGCAGGCCAGGCCGCAGTTAGGAGGGTGCACGAGAGGCAACCACGCATGGCTGTTTCTCCCCCCCTCTTTCTCCCTCCCTTCCCCTCTCTAAAATAAATAAATAAATAAAATCTTTAAAAAAAAAAGTCTTTGGGAGTAGAAGGAAGGACATAGAGAGAGAGGGCCAGAGAGGTTAATGGACAGGGTGGTACATATAGAGGCCAGAGGACCAGAGGGGCATAGAGATGAAAGTTAGAGGGTCAGAGGGGCTTTGGGGAGTGGGGGAGAGAAGGGGCCCAGACAGGCGCCCAGACAGCTAACGGGCATAGAGATGGAGGGCCAGAGGGGCTTGCTGACTAAGGCCCAGAGAGCACAAAGCCTAATGGGTAGGGAGCCTTAGTGCCAGACGGAACAGAACCCAGGGTCCAGAAAAGACAAGACATAGAGATCAGAGGGCAAGAGGACTGCAGAGAGCAAGGGGCTTGCCTCCTACCAGTCCTGTGCCCTCCAGCCCCCTCAGGGCCTGGCTCAACCCAGCAGCGGGTGCCGTCCAGGCTGCTGACGAAACCACGGGGACAGGTGCACACGTAGCTCCCGGCCGTGTTGGTGCAGGCGCCCCCGGAACAGAGGCCTGGCACGCTGAGACACTCGTTCACATCTGCGCAGACAGACACGAGTCAGAGCCGGCCCCCGCCAGCCCTGGGCCCCTCTTCCTCCTCCTCCTCCCAGGGGAGCCTGGGCAGCCCAGAGCACAGCGCGGGCTCCCCTCTCGGTCGCCCACCTTTGCACTCGGCACTGTTCTCACTGAGCTGGTGTCCCGGGGTGGGGGTGGGTGGGCAGCGGCACTCAAGGAGCCCAGTGTTGATGCAGCTGCCCCCCTCACAGGCCTGGGAGAGCCTGCCACTCACCCACATCGGTAAGGGATGAGAGGTCCGACAGAAGAAGGAACCAAGGCTGCACAGGCTCCCACGACCTTCCCCACTTGCTAACCCCCGACTCACCTTGGCAGGCCCCCGTACGGATATTGGGAATGAAGCCACGGCGGCAGGGGTGGGGCTGTGCCGGGCAGAGCTCACACGGGAGGCCCCAGGCGCGGCCCACGGTGGCACAGCAGAGCGCCTTGGTGCAGACGAGGCCCGTCAGCTGGTGCTGGCACCCCTCGGGGCCCACGTGGCCAAAGCAGGGCCCCGTCCGGTAGTCTGTGGGACACGGAGATTGGCAGCTGGCCTTGGGCTGCACCCCAACCCAGAGCCTTCCCATGTCCATCCCTCGGTCCCAGCTCAGGCTTCTACCTCTCGCATCTGGGCCACTGCAGCGGCCGCCTTCCGTCTCCTCAGCCCCCTCCACCAAAACACCAGGCTTTTTTTTCTTTTTTCTTTTTTTTTTAGTTTATTGATTTTTTTTTTTTTTTAAGAAAGAGAGAAGGAAAGAGAGAAACATCAATTTGTTCTCAGTTTGTTCCACTTATTTATGTACTCATTGGTTGGGTTTTTGGGTTTTTTTTTTAATCTTCACCTGAGGACATGCTTATTGAGTTTAGAGAGAGAAGGGAGGGACAGAGAAAGGGAAAGAAACACAGATGTGAGAAACACCAATCAGTTGCCTCTTGTAAGCGCCCTGTCTGCGGACAGGCCCTGCAACCTAGGCATGTGCCCCGACTGGGAATCAAACCCGTGACCTTTTGTTTTATAGGATGACGCTCCAACCAACCGAGCCACATGGACCAGGGCCCTTGGCTGATTCTTGTGTGTGCCCTGACCGTGGATCGACCCCGACACCTTGGCATATCGGGGTGATGCTCCAACTGAGCAACCAGGCTTTTGCCTGACCACATCTTTAATCACACTGTCCCCCTCCCTTGCCTGATGAACTACTATTAACCCTTCAAAACCTTTTCTCCCCAAAGCATTCTCCCACTGAGCTCCAAGAGAGAGGCCAGGGCCTCTAACCCCCCAAAGCATAGGCATGTCTGGAGGCTCCCAACACTCGCGCATGCCCACCCTCCTTCCAGGCCTGGGCAGGGACCCAGGCTGGAGTGCCTGCCTTGTCCCTGAGCACGTGTGGCCCTGCCAAATCTCCCAGGCTTCGGAAGGGGCCCAGAGTCTGCCTCAACGCTCGGGATCCCAACACCACACCCCTGCCCACTGTGCCAGGTGCAGGTGGTCCCCTCTCTCCCCTCAGCAGCGCACACAGGCCCAGATGGGCCTTCTTGGCTCCATCCTCCACATGGTTCCCATCAAGGCGCTGGCACTGGATCAAGGGAAGCCCTCCCAGGAGGAGAAGCCAATGCCAGCCCCTCCCAGGCTGAAGGAGGGGCTTCAGAGAGACCCCCACCAGTCCTGACTCCCCAGATCAAAACACTGTCCCCAGAGACTCGTCTGACTCACCCAGCACCCGGCACCCCCGCTGCCCCTGCTGGGTGCACAGCTCTGCCTCTCTTTGGGGCCCTCACTGTCCACCAGCCACCCCAGACCTCTCTTCTCTCCCGTCCCCACTGAATTCCAATTCCATTTCTGGTCAAATCCAGTTCCTAAAAGCCCACCCTCAAACCCAGGTAACTCCCCAGCCCCTCTAGCTTCCAAATCATCACTACACCCTCCCCAACTCAGCTTGGCCACAGAGGCGCCTCGCCCCCCGCCAGCCACACCCCACAGCACGGCCCGCCTTCGCGGTCTTGGGCTCCCTGGCCACGCCAGGCACTCTGATGGCTCCTGGAGCCGAAACCTTGGCCTGCGCACCCTCAAAGTAACGCCCTCCCGTTCGCTCACTCCTCAGCCTCCTGTGGGCTCTGTTTTTAATGTGTGCCCTTAAATGGCCCTCCCTTCTCTTCACCCAGGACCTTGACCATCTGCTTGCTTGCACCACCTTCCCCTGCCAATATTCAGATCAGACGTGGGATTTGTGTTTGTCTCCATCCCTCCTCTCACCCCCATGTCCAACTTTTAATAAAACATCCTTGTTTCCACTTAGTTTTGGCAGCAGCCTCCCAGCAGATGCTGCTGCCTGTTTCAGCCCAAAGGATCACTCGCTTGTCCACCTCATGAACTCCAACTTGTCCCTTCTTCCAAGAAGCCCTCCCTGATTCCCTTCCATGGAATAGAGGGTTTCTCTGCCCTTCACAGCAGCAGGGGAGGAAGGATGGAGGCCAGCTGGACCCTCCCAGGCCCTAGCCGTGTCTCAGAGGCTGCCAGGAAGCCCCCTTCCCTCCCTCCGTCCTCTTCCCCAGGCCTAACTTGGTACCTCTCTCACACTGAGGCCCCATGAAGCCGTACACACAGGCGCAGCGGTTTGGCCCAATGCAGCGGCCCCCATTATGACAGCCATGGTCGCAGACAGCTATGGAGGGAGAGGGGAGTGTGGCTTCAGGCCCCCCAGCAGCAGAGGGAAGTGCGTCCCAAGCAAGCCCGTCTCAACCCAGGAATTCCCTTGATCTGGCCCAGGCCCAATGATAAGACTATGACAGAGTGTGTCCCCTCCAATCCCGGGTCCCAGAAGCGTAATCGTGGGCAGTGGACAGGTGGCAGCAAAGCCCCAGCCCCTGGAGCCCCAGTCCCAGGCGTGCACGCAGGGTACTCACGCTGCCCACACACAGAGCCCGTGTAGCCCCTCTGGCACAGGCAGGACTCCCCTCGGCAGCTGCCCCCATTCAAGCAACTCACACTGCACCCTGACCCTAAGGATGGGGAGGAGGGACACAGTAAGTCCGTGACAGACCCCGCGACGCACATGCAAGGCGGCAGGACTTAGCATGCCCAACCGGCTCTGGTCCTCCAGCAAAAGCAGCCGGGGCGCCCACAACCTCCTCCTCCCATGGCCAGGGGCCAGCGCCGCTCACCTCGGCTCACCCCGCAGCTGGGCGCCAGCCTCCCGTCCACACAGGCGCACAGGTTGGGTCGGGAGCAGAAGCCCTCGCCGCAGGCGTGCCTGCAGACGGCTGCAGGGCGGAGAGGGCGAGTCGGGGCCAGGACCCAAACCCTGGGCCATCCCCACCCTGGTGCTGCCAGGCTCCGGGGCTCTGCGGGAGCCACCAGGAGAGGTGCTCTCTGGGCCAGCACCGCTGAGCAGCAAGAACAGAGGTGGAGGTGCTGGGGTGCGGGGGCACTCTCCCAGGGAGCGGAGTCCCATTCTAGAGACTGGGGGACAGACTGCGGAAAGACAGAGATAGGAGAGACTGAGAGACACAGAGAGACACACAAGGAGGTACGAGAGACAGAGAAAGAGAGAGCGACAGACAGACAGATATAGAGAATGAGAAAGAGACAGATTGAGAAAGAAACAGAAACTGAGGAAGAAAGAGAAACAAAGGCGGGGGGGGGGGGGAGAGAGGCGGGCATAGAGAGCGAGAAAAAGAGAGAGAGAAACAGACCAAGGGAGAAAGACAGAGAGAAACGGGCAGACTCAGGGAGGTGGTGAAGCAGAGCCCATGAACTGAGCGGGATGGCCTAGGAGCCTCAGGACGTTGCCAAGCACCATTTCTCGGGTTCAGCCACACGCCCTCAGCCAAGACCACCTGTACAGGGGCTGGACTTGGCAGCAGGCAGGAAAGCGGCTCCAGGGCGCCCCGCCTGCCCCTCCACCTCCGCACGGCGCGGTACTCACGCATGACACACTGGTTCCTGCCAGGCAGTGTCCTCCAGCCAGGGCAGCAGTAGGCGTGGAAGCGGGAGCCGCACACATGTGGCCTTGGGGAGCACACGGTGAGGCTGCTGAGTCCCTGCTCAATGGGACGTACCCAGGGCCTCGCCCTCTCCCGCCCAAAGACAGCCCAGCCCAGCCCCCACACCCCGGGGCCTCCCAGCATCCTGGGCACCACGCACCCCTGCAAGATGCCTGGGCTGCCACGCCTACGCACAAGTCCAGGACCTGCAGGCTCCATCGCCCCATCCCAGTGTCCCTGGCCGCCCACTGTGCAGGACAGCAGGAGCACAGCCAGGGGCCCCCAGGCCATGACGGGGGCAGCGGCTCCCCTTTTTCCAAGGACAGACACTCCCGAACGGTGACGGTGAGGTGTCCTCAGGGGCTGCAGACAGGAAGCAGACTCAGCCCCAGCAGAAGCCCTTGGCCATGGGGCACCAGGAGAACCAGGAGCAGTGGGACAGCTGCCTGAGCCCACAGGAGCCGGGGGGGACAGGAGGCAGGCGAGGAGTCAGAGACGCTTCTGGTGGGAGGTGTGCGGGCTTGAGAGTGAGTGGGAGGAGGGTGCTGGGCCGGGGTGGAGGGGCGGGGCTGCGGTGAGAGCAGAGGCGGAACGGCAGGGAGCACTGAGCAATGGGGCAGGGACAAGCGGGCCGGTGCGTGTACTGCAGCTTCCTCGTGTAGGTCGGGACCCTGGCTAGCCCGGGAGGGGTTTTCAGCGGGAGGAGCAAAGGCAGGAGAGTGAAAGGGCTGTGGGGGCTCCAGAGAGAGGGTGTGGGGGAGGAGGCTGAGCAGGCATGGGGGGGCGCGGGGAACACAGGAAAAGACCTCGAAGATACTGCGGAGGTGGAATCAACAGGAACTTAAGGGAGGTGGTGGTCATGGATAAGACCCTGGGAGTTCTGGCGGGGGCAGGGGGCGGGGCCTGGAAAGGGTTGATAGTAAGTCCATGGGAGGCAGCTGGACCTTCTGGGCAGGAGTAAGGGGCAAAGATGGGGGCTTCCCAGGGTAGAGCACACCCCTTCGCCCAACAGGGAAGAGTCAGCTTTTGTGCCCACCTCACAGATGAGCAAACTAAGGCCATGATACAGTTAATGAGGGGCTGAGCAGGGCCTGAAGCTCAGGGGGGAGGGAGAGAAGGAAACAGATCAGGGGCACCCCTCTCCCCCCGCCGGCCCCGGAGGTGGCTGGCTCTCTCTAGACCCTGAAAGGATGGGAGGGAGATGAGGACAGGCCCACTCCCGAGGGAGGAGACGGCGGGGCAACAGTTTGGAGGACGGAGCCAGAACACCGTGGGAAGATCAGGCGGCCTCAGGGGAGAGGAGCTTTCCGGGCCTACTTTCAGGAACGGGGAGGACAGGAAATGGACCGGGGTGGGAAATGGGTGCGTAGTGTGCTGGGTGCCCTTGGTCCACTGGCTGCCCCTCTCTGGGCCTTGGGATAACACAAGAGCCCAACCGGGTGTCCCAAGGTCCTAGAGAAGGGAGAAGCCTTGTCAACTTTGGCGGGGAGCCGGAGTAGAGTCGCCCGGCGGGGGAGGGACTCTTCCTCTTGCTTCCGAGTAGTCCGGGCCGCTGTGCAACTCCAAGGATGCCTTCTCCAGGCAGCCTCGGGGCCCGCGCGGCCTCCCTCCCCGTCCGGGCCGGCCTCGGGGGCTTCCGACCTGGCCTCACCCGGGTCCCACATCAAATGAATGAGCTGGGATGGCGCGCGCGGCCCGAGCAGGGAGCCGGGAGCCGGGGGCCGGTGGCCGGGAAGCGTGGAGGGGCGCGCGCCCCCGAAGCCTGCGGGCCGCGTTCTCCAGCGGGCAGGGCTGAGGACTCAGACAAGGTGTCGCCACCACGCTCGGCTCCTCCCTCACCAGAGGATCTGGGACCGACGTGCGCCCCGTGCAGTATCCTTCCCCCCCGCGCGGGTCCCGACACCCGTGCGCAGCTTTGGAGAGGGGAAGGGGTTGGGCCCCGAGTTTCGGGCTGCAAACAAAGGAATCCCCTCCCCCTCCCCGTCCCAGTCCCTTCCTTCATCCCCAGCTCCCCCCATCTCTGCTCTCCGGTCCGCACAACCGCCGCATGGCCCGCGCTTCCCCTACCTGCGAGCCGGCGCGCGTGGCAACTGGCACCGGGAACAGACGCGCGGAACTCCGCGCGCCGGGGACCCGGAGCTGGACCGCGAAGCCGAGAGGCCGACCCCACTGAGTTCCCAGAGCTGCCACTCCGGGGAAGTTGGGGGCGGGAGGAGTTGGGGGAGGGCACGTTTGCACCTCGAAGCTCCAGGGCGGGGGCCTGGGGGCCGCGGCCCGGGCCGGGGGAGGGGCTGGAGCGAGGGGAGGGTCTGGCGCTCCGGGGTAAACTCTGAGGGGCTGGAAAAAGGCGAGGGAGCACAAAGCCAGGGCGGGCTCTGAAACGCGGGGTGGGGGCCTCGGGAAGCGCGGAGCGAGGCGCTGCGGGGAGACCAGGTTTCCAGGGCGAGGTTGAGTTGACGGTGGCCCTGAGGTTGGGCTCCGATTTGGGGCGGCCTGGAAGACAGCCAAACCGAGAGGTCCCGCGTCTCTCCTGGGAGCCGCCGCCTCAGCCCTCGGGCTGGGAGAATTCCTGGGGTGACGTGAAACTCACCTGACGCCAGGAGCCTGGAGTTAAGATCCAAGGGCCCCGAAAAAAAGTAGGCAAAACATAAGGCAAAGGTGCATTTTTGGAAGAAAAATTCCACATTTTTGCATCTGATTCTCAAAATGAAAGGTTTAAGAATCCAAAAGGGCTTTCTGTACCTCAGTTTCTCCACCTGTCAAAGGGGCCTTCAGAATTTCTGCTTTCTACCTGGAGTCTACATCCTAAACAAAAGTTGCCAGCTTCCCCCACCACTTCCCCACCTTTGAGATCTGATACCACCAGAGACCCCTAACATGGAGATTGGTCAGCAGCTGCTTGTTGGACCTGGAGCTATTATTCCACTCACCAAACTCCTATGTTTCTGGCAAAGCCCAGTTCAAACCCTGCCCCCCCACGCCCCAATTGTTAGTTTACCCGATTGCTAGGTGGGACAAGGGTCTCAACGTTTGGACCATTCCTACTAAATGCTATTCTTGCTAAATGTTAAAATGCAGCGCCGCTATTTTGTAGGCGAGCTGTAAACAGAATGAGCCTGAGGGAGCCCAAGGCTGTAAGCGCAGGCAACTGAAATCCATGTGCCATTGGCCAAATAGTGTATGTGATCAGTGGCTAAGCCTCCCTTTGAGGAGACAGAGCTTTGACAATTAATCCCCTCTTTTACTTGCTCAAGCAAATAAAACCACCTTGCCAGCAATCATGGCTTGTTTTGGAAAGTGGCGACCCCACTGAGTTCAGTAACACTGTCGAATTCCCAAAGCTGGTTGGGCTGGTCATGCCTCCATCCTAGCACTTCTGGAATCTACTCAATAAATAGCAAGAAACAGTTTGAGCTAATATTAATTAGGTGCTGTGTGCCACACTTGATGCTAAGTGCTTCGTACACATTATCTCATTTAGTCAGCAAAAAACCCCGTGAGGGAGATACTCGTATAATCTCATAATGGGGGTTCCAGGAGACAGACCTGGGCTCTGACTTTCCTGGGCCAGAGATGGGCGGGGCGGGGGGGCATTCTGCCTGGGGGTGGGAACCTGGAAGGCTCAGTAGAAGAAAGGTAAGAGGGAAGGACAGGTGGAGGAAGGAGCATAGGCAAAGCCCCCTCCACCCCTACCCCACCCCCACCACCTCCCTGGGAGGAGACTATATGGAGCTTGCAGGACCTGAGCACAGCTGGAGCTTTAGGGCAGGAGAGGAAGGGGAAAGGTAGGCTGGCGCTCCTGGGAGCCTCCCGTAGGCCCCAGACTTCTGAAGGGGGCCATGGCAGGCTCCCAGGAAGGGGGGCCACCCCAGGGACTGCCCTGTGGGGTCTAGGTCTGGGTGAGGGCCCAGGGCTGGGGGGTGTGAGGCAGAGGGAAGTTCAGGGACAAGATTCAGGGCGCCCACCCTGGCCGAGGGAGAGGCCTGGAGCCCAGGAGGAGGTTCAGGAGCGGAGGGCGGGCTAGGGAAGGAACCCCGGGATCAGGTTCCACAGCGGCACCCTAAGTGTGGCGTTCCAGTGTGGGGGGGCCCTGGGGCCATTGTGGATGGGCCAGCTTCCAGGCACAGACATGCCTGCCATGCCTTCCCGGGCTCTGTTGCCAAGATCCAGTCTGGTCTGCCCTTCAGCCAACAAGTGTCCCCCACCAGGGGCACTGGGGTGCTCCCTGGGGGCCCCAGAAGCAGTCCAGTGTGTATGCAGAAGGTGGGGAGGGACAGTCCTGTGCCAGGGACACGGCCTGACCAACGCTGAGGAAGGCTGGTGGATGGGACAGCGGTTTGGCCCTAGACGGCTCCCTGCTCGCTCCCTGGCCGCGGGCAGAGAAGGTCTCCATCGGGTGGGGCGCTCCTGGAAGTCCCCGCGCACAGAGGTTCTCAGTGACACAGGGGAGTAAGTGCTTCTCGTCATTACACCCCCACAGCTGTCCTGCTGTCGCGCCTTCCCATGGCTCCCCTGTGGGGTCACTTACATGGCCACCCATCGCCGTCGCGGTCGCGCCGACGAGCTGCCTGTGTGTGTTCTCTCCACAGCCGCCCGCCCGTCCGGAGGACCGGTTAGACTCTCACCCGCCCCCGGCACCCGGCGCCGCCCAGGACTGTCGCAGGGGGGAGCATGCCACACAGTCTCCCTGTCGATATCATATCGTCACCTCGTTCCTGGCTCAGGGTCCCATCACTGTCGCCCACTGATGTCACCTGGTGATGTCACCCTTTCATTGCCACCTATTAACGGGACACCTTGCTGTTTTCTGGGTCCCCCACTGTCTGTGTCATTCATGTGGTCTCCTGTCACCTTTATACCTTCACCTTGTTGCTGTGACATTGCCACTGGTTGTTGATTGTATGTCACCCAGAGCATCAGGATTTTAAACGGCAGGGGACAGAGACCAGATTCCGCAGAAGACGCACTTGGCTGGGGCAAATGCCCCGGGGGGCTGGAGATCAACGCCTGGGGGCTCTTCGGCCAGCGGTTTCCCCGAAGCCTCCGTAGGTCTGGTCCCGTAAAGACACCTTCCGCGCCCTCCCGACCCCCCAGGCTCAGTGATGCTTGGTGATCCTGGACGCCAGAAACCAGAGCCACCCTTGGGAGAGGGAGGGCCGGGGACCCCCTTTCTGACACCGACCTGGGTCAAAGTTGGGGCAGAGGCACCTGCCTGGAGGAGTGTGGGGACGTGTGCTCCCCTGACTGTGAGGGGGCTGGGGCACAGGGCACCCCGTGTCTTGAGGTTCTGTTGGGAATCTGCCTTGTGAAGGGGCAGCTCCCGGTCCAGGGGAAGGTCACCTGAGTCTCACGCTGGCCAAGTGGGCGGCAAAGGCTCTGTGCGCTGTGTTCTTCCTACTGGGCCATCTGCCACTGTTCCTTCACACTGTCATCTGCCGCCGTCAGAGGCTGTCTCCCTGTCGTCACCTCTCACTGCAGCTGTCCCCATGCTGTCACCTGTCATTTTCACACACTCTCCCCTTATTGTCCACTGTCACTGTGTCACCGCCTTCCTACCCACATTACCCCGATCCATAGAATTTTTTTAAATTACAGTGACACCTGTTGCTGCCACACTGGCTCCTCAGTGTCACCTGTTGCTGCCACACTGGTTCTGCATTACCCTCAGTTCCTACTCATTGTCACCTGCCCCTGTCACATGGCCACACCACCCTGTCCCTGTCACCCCGAGCACCCCCACACTGCTGTCACTGTAAAGGTCTTTGCAAATGAACGTGAGTCATTCCAACTGCACCCTTTCTCCCAACAAACCACCCTCCTCTGACTTCTCTGTGCAGTTCTGGAGTGTCCCCCCGCAGACTGGACTCAACAGTGTGTGTCCAGAGCCAGGAGACTCCACTGTCCATTCACGTAGACCAGAGCGGGTCTGGGAGCTCGGGGTCAGGACTGGGGACGAAAAGATGTGGGGCAGGGAGAGTGCCTGCAGCTGTGGGGGCGGGGGCGGGGCGGGGGCGTGGGGGCAGGGCGGGGGCATGCTGGGCCTGCCTAGGCTGGTGGCTGGGGACAGAGCTCCCTTTGTCTGAGCGCAGGAAGCAGCTGAGCTCTGCCCAGGGGAGGCCTGTGGGCAGGGAGTTTGGCCAGATGCCCGAGAAGGAGGCTGGTGGTGACAGGTCCTGGAGGTCCCAAGAAGTCCCTGGGAAGGTCAGGCCCCGGGCTGGGAGGGGCAGAGGGAGCAGCTGGACCGCGAGGACTTCCCCATCCTGTTTTCTGGGGATGCCAACAATTCACAGAGCGCTCACTGGGTGCTGGGGGGACCCTCCTGACAGGTCCCCCGGGAAGGCTCTGTGATCTTCCCAATGACACACGTGGGGACAGCCCAGGCTCGGAGCCCCCAGGCCACTCACGCCAGCCCTGGCCAGTAAAGAGCGCAAGCAGATCGGAACCCAGGTCACAAGGGCCCGGCCTCAGTCGCTGGGCAGGGGGAGGCCGCAGAGGCTGGTGTCGCTTCGATGTGTACACGTGTCCTCTTTTCTTTAACGGGAACCACACGCGTCAGCACCGATACACACGGTACCGCTTTGCTTTCTTTCCTCTTTGTCAAAACTTCTTTTGTGCGGAGAGAACTTGCTCGCTCTTCCGTCAGTCTCTGGACCCCATGGGCGAGTGGAGCTGCAGTTTGTCCGCCCAGCACCCGCGTGGGTCCCGAGAGCGCTGCCGGGACAGCGCGCGCAGGCGTCCTCCCTGCCACATGCCAGGCCGGGCCTTGGGAGGTCGTTCTGTCATGGAGAACGCCAAGCATGCAGAGGCAGGCGGAGAGCGCAGAGAGCGCGGTGAAGCTCCACGGAGCCCTCCGTCAGCTTCGGCCATTGCTAACTCCCAGAGTCTCATCGCCTCACCGCCCCCCGCCCCCCAACAAGCAGCCTTTCTGCCAAATGTAAATGGACAGAGGAGAGAAGCCCAGACAGAGGGGCAGCTCCGGACGGGTCCAGCCACCGGAGAGCACAGGCCCGGGCGCACCAAGCGCAGCGGCCCCAGGTGACTCCCGTGAAGCCACAGTGACAGGGAGGGCAGGAGCCACACCTTTGCAAGAGCGTGGTGAGGGGCTCTGGGGAGAGCAGCAAGTCGTCCGGGGGCTGCCAATGTGGCTCAGCCGTCACGTGCTCATGCTGTCACTCAGCCCAGGGGACGGAAGGGTGGCCACTGCAGAAACAGCTGCTGGCCAGGAGAGGAGGTGGAAGAAATGCTGGCCCCCAAAGACACTTGGAGACCAAGGGCAGGGGCCTCTAAACGCGGAGGCCCCCCGCAACTCTCCCGGACAGACAGCCAGGCAACCACACAGGCCAGCGTTTCCTGAGCTACAGACAGATTTGTGCTTCTGGAGGAAGGGGCCCCGGACTCTCAGACTCGGCCCCTCAACCACGTCCCTGAGAGGGGACCTGCACGTCTGGAAGGTCACAAATTAGAGGATCAAGAGGAAGTCCTGGAGAGTGACCTCTGCAAGCCAGAGGGCAACAGAGGACCACTCTGCACTTTGAGAGCCAGAATGCTGCGACGGCACTAGGGTGGCTATTAAAAATAGAAGCAGTAACCGGTGCTGGTGAGGATGAGGAGAAATTGGAACCCCACACATTGCTGGCGGAACTGCAAGGTGGCGCGGGTATTGTGGAAAGCAGCGGGTGGTTCCCCCAAAAGTTCACCGTAGACCTTACCATGTGACTTTGTGACCCCACTTCTGAGTACAGATCCCAAAAAAGTGAAATCGGGGCCTTGAGAAAATATTTGCAAACCCATATTCGTAGCAGCATTATTCATAACGGTGAAAAGGCCGAGGCAACCAAAGTGTCCGTCAGCACCTGAGTGGAACAACACGATGTGGTCCGTCCATATGCTGGACTGTCGTTCAGCCTTAAAGAGGACATTATGCTGAGTGAAATAAACCAGTCACAAGAAGACAAATACTGTGATTCCACTCACAGGAGGTCCCTGCAGGAGTTGGACCCGTGGAGACAGAAAGCAGGTGGTGGGGACCAGGGCTGGGGGAGGGGGCGGGGGGAAGGGGATGGGGAGCTGGTGTTTAAAGGGGACAGAGTGTCGGTTCAGGAGGATGAGAAGTTCTGGGGATGGGCGGTGGGGTGGCTGCACAGCAGTGCGAATGTGCTTAATGCCACTAAATGTTACACTTAAAAATTAGTAAGTAATCACACTCTTCGCCGAGAGTCGCCGTGGTTTCCTGCTTCAACAGTGCCTGAACGGAACCCAGCGCTTGACCCCCATCCCAGCCAGCTTCCCAGATCCATCCTTCTGCCACCTTCTTACAGCGCCCTCGGACGGCCCAAAGGTCCCTGCCACCGATCCAGCTCCACGAAGCCGCCCGTCCTCGGCCGCCCGTCATGACCACACCCACCTCGCAGGTACGCCAGAACTACCACCAGGACTTGGAGGCCGCCATCAACCGCCAGATCAACCTGGAGCTCTACGCTTCCTACGTCTACCTGTCCATGTCTTACTACTTTGACCGTGATGAAGTGGCTTTGAAGAACTTTGCCAAGTATTTTCTTCACCAGTCTCAGGAGGAGAGGGAACATGCTGAGAAACTGCTGAAGCTGCAGGACCAACAAGGTGGCCGAATCTTTCTTCAGGATATCAAGAAACTGGAACGTGATGACTGGGAGAATGGGCTGAATGCTATGGAGTGTGCATTACACTTGGAAAAAAGTGTGCATCAGTCACTGCTGGACTTGCACAAACTGGCTACTGAAAAAAATGACCCTCATTTGTGTGACTTCGTTGAGACTCACTACCTGGATGAGCAGGTGAAATCCATCAAAGAACTGGGTGACCATGTAACCAACTTGCGCAGGTTGGGAGCCCCTGCCTCTGGCCTGGCAGAGGATCTCTTTGACAAGCACACTCTGGGAGACAGTAAAAATAGCTAAGCCTTAGGCTGCCTTCCCACAGCCACGGGAGTGACTTCCCTGGTCACCAAAGCAGTATGTGCATGTTCGAGTTACCTTTACCTTTTCTATAACTTGTACCAATCATCCACTTATGTCCTTCATTTGTACCATTACTTCAAATAAAGTAATTTGGTACCCCCCCCAAAAAAAATTAGTAAGTAATCATTCCGCAATGTATATGTGTATGAAAGCATCACATTGTACACTTTAAATATATGCAATTATATTTGTCAATCATTCCTCAATAAAGTTGGGGAAAATTTTTGTTAATTTAGTAAATTTTTTGTTATTTAAGATGGTGAATTCTATATTATGTGTATTTTTAAATTTTATTTTAATTTATTTTTAGAGAGAGGGGAAAAGAGGGAGAAAGAAAGGGAGAGAAACATCGATATGAGAGAGAAACATCGGCGTGAGAAACATCGATCAGTTGCCCCTCCGACATGCCCCAACAGGCAGCCGAACCCCAACCCAGGCGCCTGCCGCGGTCAGGAGTCAAACTGGCGTAGTTTTGAGGGACAATGCCCAACCAAGTGAGCCCCACGAGTCGGGGCTGTTCTGCGTACTTTACCACAATTGCTTTTTAATGAGGAGATCACAGCCTCGCCCCTGGGCTGGTCCAAGGCCGGTCTACGGGCAGCGTCCGTCCCTGCCTGCGGCCTCTGGTGCTGCCAGGTGCCTGGGCAGGTCGTACTTCTCAGTGTCCCCGGGGCAGCCACAGGCGTGACCTCACGCCAGATTCACTGAGTGCCCGGAGTTCTTCTTGGGTTTTTTTTTTTTCCCCTCTCTTGATGAAGAGAAAAGTCTGAATATTTACGCAGCTGTGGGACAAATAGCTGCTGGCTGACGTTTCCCTTTGCAAGTCGGGCGTTTCCTGCATGTCTGACAGTTCTGGCACATTTCCCAAGTCCTAGTCCTTTCTCTGTTGCTGGGAGAACAGACGGGGCCACCGGTCTCTGGAAGACTGCGGGGGCGGCAGGGCTGGCTGCGCCAGAGCGTGGACTTCTGAACGCCAAGGCAGCGGTCATGTGGCATCTGTCGCATACCTTTTTCCTGCTCACCTGCTGAGGGGACCGTCCCTTCAGGTTGCAATGTGTATGAGTTTTCTGCGGCCTTTGTAATAAATGGCCACACACTCGATGGCTTGGAAAACAAATATTTGTGCCCTGACTAGTGAGGCTCAGTGGCTTGGGTGTCATCCCGCAAAGGAAAGGCCGCCAGGCAGATTCCCAGGCGGGGCACAGGCCTGGGTTGTGGGCCCGTTCCTGGCGGTGGGGGGGGGCGCGTGCAAGGCAGCCGGCTGACGTCTCTCACATCGATGTTCCTCTCCCCTTCTCCCTCCCTTCTCCTCGCTCTAAAAACTAAACAAATAAGACATTAAAAAAAAAAAATAACATCTGTGATCTTACAGCTCTGAGGGGCAGAGGTACAGCCCTCGCTGGCTGACGTCAAGGAGTCAGCAGAGCTGCGTTTCCCCTGGGAGCGCCCGGCAGAAGCCGTTCTGTGCGTTTTCCAGTTCTAGAGGCACCTGCGGTCCTCGGCCCGCGGCCACTCCCTCTCCCTCAAGAGCCAGCAGCATAGCCTCTTCCAGCCTCTCCCTGACCCTCCTGCCGCCCTCTCATAAGGACCCTTGGGGTGGCATGGGGCCCCCAGGCAGTCCAGGGTCATCTCTCCGTCATCTCCAGATCCTGGACTCACTACTGTTTGCAATAGCGTCCACATGTTCAGTCCCAGGGTCGCGTTGCGGGTGCCTCTGGGGCGATGTGCACTGCTAAGCCTCCCACAGCGAGCTTCCCTGAGGGGAAGGAGCCTCGCCGTCTGCTCCGAGGCAGGGGCAGGATGTGGCTTTCAAGCTGTGCCTTTCAGACTCCAGACCTCAATTTCCTCACCTTTCAAATATGAAAAAAAAAGACTCTTCTGGTCATTTTCCCGGGAAATGAGGTGGGACCCGGCTAACCAAAATGTGCCATGGCCCCAAGGCAGCCCCACACACAGATGCCCGGGGACCCGGCCCTGAGGCCGTGGCCCGCTTCTGAGACAAGTATTACTGATCACCTACTGGGGACCAGGCACTGGGGACAAAAAAGGAAGCAGAAACAGACCTGAGCCCCACCTCCCTGCAGTGCATCAGTCTGGGGAATGTTCCTTCAACCGGCCCCTACGGAGTGCCTACTGTGTACCAGGCGCTGTTCTAGGTGCAGGGGGTGGGAAGGGGGCACAGCAGCAGAGAAGGCAGACGTCCCCTGAACCCCACTCGAGTGATGGTAAGGGCATGGAAGACCGGTGCCTGGCGCCCGGGGCCTGAGGTAGCGGATGCTTCTCCAGGGCGATGACGCTTGTCCTGAGATTGGCCCAATACTTATTAGAGTTAGAGTTAAACTGAGAGAAAGGACGAGAGGGAACAGCACATGCAAAGGTCCTGAGTAAGCTGAGTGGCTGGAGTACAAGGACCACAGGGAGAGAGGAGTGGGAGGCGAGGCTGGGCAGCCTGGGAAATGTGTCAATATTTTAAGATCAGCAGGGAGCCTTCAAGGGCGTGATTGCAAGAGGACTCCGCGAAGACTGGGACCACTAGGCCAGGCACGGAGAGGCACTGCCGAGGGAGGGAGGCCCGGGCACCCGCCCCCGGCCCTGCCGTCACACCCGTCTCTCTGGGACCACAGTATCTGTCCAGCCTGCCTCCCTGTGGCCGCGTCCGTCCCCCAGCTGCTGGCAGAGTTTCTCCCCACAGCTCTCCCCCATGCCCTCCAAACCCTGAGCTTGCCATTTAGTTCAGTCAACACTTATTAGGCACCTACTGCGTGCCAGATGCTTTACACTCACTGTCATGTTGAGTTCCCCCCAAACCCCACAACTAAGGCCCCCAGTCAGGGGTGGAGACTGTGACCCAAGGACACGGTCTGTGAAGGGGACCCAGAAGCTCAAGCATCACTAACTCTCAGAAGACATGCGTGTGCCAGGGTACCTCTCAGGTCCTCAGTGAACATTCAGTGAATCAGTGGGTAAGTGACTGACTCGACAAATGGCGGGCAAGTCCAGTGGGACTGAGGGAGGGGGCAGAAGTTGCCTGTGGAGAGGTGAGCAGGACTCGGAGTGAGAGAAACCTTAAAAGCCGCATCTGGAAGTGTGTGCGTGACCTGGTGGCAGCCGGGAGCCATGAATGGTTCTACACAGAAAGCCACACAATCTGATTTATGTTCCCGTTGGACCAAGTTGCCAAGAGGGTGGAGTCAATTGAGTCTGTCACTAGGGGGCACTCAAGTCTTCCCAGAGACTGTCTTCAGAACTGCACTGTGCAGAGGGGTCATTGGCCACAGGGGGCAGCTGAGCACTTGAAATGTAGCCAGTCCCAATCGAGACAAGTGTAAAGTACCTACTAGATTCCAAAGGCTTTGTAAGAGAAAGGGAATGTAACATGACATAAAATGATGACTTGGGGCACATTAGGCTAAATAAATTATACTATTAAAATTGCATCTGTTCTACCCTGGCCGGGTAGCTCAGTTGGTTAGAGCATTGTCCTAATACACCAAGGTTGTGGGTTCAATCCCCAGCCAAGGCATGTGCAAGAGTCAACCAATGAATGCATTAATAAGCAAAACAGCAAATCAATGTTTCTCTCTTCTTTCCATTATCTCTCTAAAATTAATAGATAATTTTTTAAATTTCACCTGTTTCTTTTTACTTTTTTATAATGTGGTGAAGCTTATATACATGGATTACATATATTTCTATGGGGCAGTACTGGGCTTCGAGAAAGGTTATTGTTTTCAACTGTGGTGAGGGAGCAAACTAACCTGTGTTTTTCTCTTACTTCCTTCTATATTAGTCATCCTTCGTGGATGTTCTCCATGCTCATGGATATAAGTGCATGCACATAAATAAACAGGGCAGATATAGAGAGTTGGGCTCATTGTTTTAATAAATATGGAATTGTATGGGATATATGTTTTTTACCCAAGGTATTGTACGGAAACTGCTCAGACTACCTGCTAAGGTCCTAATTCACTCTTTATTTTTCTTTTTAAAAAAAATTTTATTGAATTTATTAGGGTGGCATTGGTTAATAAAATTAAATGTTTCAGGTGTACACTTCTATAATACATAAGAAATCTTTTTTTAATTATATTTTATTGTTTATGCTATTACAGCAGTCCCAATTTTTCCCCCTTTGCCCCCCTCCACCCAGACCCCGCCCCCTTCCTCAAGGCAGTCCCCAGACCATTGTCCACCTCAAGGGTCCTGTCTATATGTCCTTTGGCCACTGTATTCCTTATGCTGTGCTTTACAGCCCCATGACTGTTCTGTAACAACCAAATTGTACTTAATCCCTTCCCCTTTTTCACCCACCTCCTGACCCCACTCCCACCTGTCAACCATCAAAATGTTCTATGATTCTGTTTCTGTTCTGTTTATTTTGTTTTTTTATTCAATTATTAATAGATATGTATTTATTGCCACTTTATAGTTCACATTTTTAATCTTACTATTAAAAATTATCCTTTAACATTCCATATAATAGTCTCTCGGTTATGATGAATTCCTTTAGCTTTTTCTTGTCTGGGAAGCTCTTTCACTGTCTTTCAATTTTAAATGATAGCTTTTCTGGGTAGAGTAATCTTGGTCACAGGTCCTTGCTTTTAATCACTTTGAATATTTCTTGCCAATCTCTTCTAACCTGCAAAGTTTCTTTTTAAAAATCAGTCTTATGGGAGCTCCCCTGTAGGTAACTAACTGCTTTTCTCTTGCTACTTTTAAATTTCTCTGTCTTTAAACTTTGGCATTTTAATTATGGTGTGTCTTGGTGTGAGCCTTTGTGGGTTCACCTTGTTTGGGACCCTCTGCACTTCCTTGTGGTTTGGACTTGTAGGTATGTCTATCTTCTTCACTAAGTTAGGGAAGTTTTCTGTCATTATTTTTTCAGATAAGTTTTCAATCCCTTGCTCTCTCTCTTCTCCTTCTGGCACCCCAATTATGAGAATGTTGGTATAATTGAAGTTATCCCCCAGGCTTCTTACACTATCCTCATTTTGGGGGGGGGGGGTTCTTTTTTCTTCTTGTTTTTCTGATTGGGTGTGTTTTTCTTCATGATATTCAAAATCACT